AGGCAAAAAAACAACAACCATGGCATTCCCCACCACAATAATGTTCTGAGTTTCACCCTTTTCCAATGCATCCTGGATCAGTCTGTGGTAGATGGTAGGGCTGCGTTTCCATCCCTACGGCACTCAGTTCCAGGTGTACTGCATGCTCCTCCAGGTGAAAGCAAACTGAGGCCTGCATTCTGCTCCCAGAGGAATGGAGAAAAATGTGTTAGTAATGTTAATAGTGGCGTACCAGTTTGCTGCCTTGGACTCCAGCTTATACTGGAGTTCCAGTATGTCCAGCACAGCAGTTCTCAGCGGTGGAGTCACTTCATTCAATGCACGATATTCCACAGTCAGTCTCCATTCTCTGTCAGACTTGTGCACAGGCCAAATGGGACTGTTGAAGGGTGAATGGATTTTGCTGACCACCCGTTGGCTCTCCAGCTCAAGGATTATTTTGTGGATGGGGATCACGGCATCTCGATTTGTCCAATACTGCTGGCGGTGCACTGTCAAAGTGGCAATTGGTACTCGTTGCTCTTCCACCTTCAGGAATCCTACTGAAGATGGGTTTTCTGATAGTCTAGGCAAGGTGTTCAACTGGTAAATGTCTCTGCCTCTACAGCAGCTATGCCAAAAGCCCACCTGAGTCCCTTTGAGTCTCTGTAATACCCCTTTCAGAGAAGTCTATGCCCAAAATACACAGGGCCTCCAAGGCGGTCACAATATGCCACTCTTTCCCCGTCAGGCTCACCTCAGCTTCTAACAGAGTCAATTGCTGTGATCCTCTGTCACCCCAGCAATGGAAACAGGTTCTGCCCCGACTTGTCCCAATGGCATTAGGGTACACTGTGCACCAGTGTCAACTAACACTTCATATTTTTGATGGCTCTGATGTGCCAGGCCATTGGATCCACACTGTCCAAAAGACCCCACTTTCCCACACCTTTTCCTGGCTAGAGTCAGGGCCCCTCTAGCCCTGGTTATCATAGCCCAGGTTTCTTCTTGGGCATTAATTCAAGAAATTACTTCAAGGGGATCCAACAGGTCATCCTCTCTTCTGTAATACCTGGCAGCTCAGTCATGGGAGGCTGAGGCTACCTTCACTTTACTGGAACTCCCTTGGTTACTGTTTCCCTCCTTGAGTTGACACACTCATGCAGTCAGGACAGAAGTGAGTTTCCCATCCCACCCTCCCATGTCTTCCCCATGGTCATGCAGAAAGAACCGCAGGTCAGCTTGTGGGGTGTACCCTCCCTCTCTAGCTGGGGGACATTGGGCTCTGACTTTGGGGCCTGTAATTTGCACTGGTGCCGCACTGACCTCCCTCATCTCCTCCCTCATGTCCCTCATCTCCAATTTGAGGTCCTTTAACCACAGTAGAGACATGAGCTTATATCAGGCCATTGATCATACTCACATTATTTCTGAGTCGCCTGTTGGTGACTGTCTCTCAGTCTCACTGTCTCTCAGTTATCCTCGGCATTAATTGTTTCAATGACGTGGTGTATTGAGACGCCCCTGTGAAATAAAAAGCTGTGTTTCATGTCAGGTACATACAGGCAACATGTGTATTTGTGATTGTGATATGTGTGGAAACCAACCATAGGACAGTTTTAAAGACAAATTCTAATAAATAACTGAGGAAGTAAAGCATGGAAGAAGGCATTTACACCTATCCTTTATTTGTAATTAACCTTTATGCAGCGGTGGCAGCTGGCTTCCTCAAAGTTATGAATGTCCCAGCTTGCTCGGCCAGCACCGCCGGCAGCACTGGGGCACTCTCCCACAGGAACGTCTTCTTGGGGAGAAAGGTGGACCCACATCTGGAATCTGGACCTCACCAGCCAGGAGACTTCTTTCTTCTTTCGGAAGCCGGACCACCACCATCTGGGAATACTCCTTTCTGGGATACATCCTGAGAAAAGCTAAATCACAATAGTATATAGAATTGTGACGTAAAAATTTGGAATAGAAACTGCTGAGAAAGCTTATGAGTACCCCTATAAATATCTGTAAGCCTTAACTATCAGTGTGCAGTTGGAGGGGAAACTTCCCCCACTGTACCCAGCGCTGTATTGCTCATACTTTACCATATTAATTAATAAATTGATTCCTGGTTGAATATTGGCCTAGTCAAGCTTCTCATTTATAACAGTCCTAACTTTTCCAGGTTACACAACATTTGCCCTGTGCACCTGACCTTGTCGGGGTCATTATCATGCTGTCCATCCCTCCCAAAGACGGATATCTTCCAATACTGCCACTTCTCTCAGCTGTTGGATCCCTTCCTCAAGGGTTATCCAGCGCATTCTATGATGGTGCTCCTGCATTCTCTCCCTGTGGACAAACCTCTCTCTTACACTCATTAAAAGCCGCTCCCAGAGGGAAAGGGACCCTGGCACCCTTACAAAAATCTGATTCATACCTGAGTCCTGGGTCAAGAGTCCCAAATTCCTTACCTCACCACCATTCAGTTGCACGCCTGTATCCATAAGGTCCCAGACCAAAGTAACCAGGTTGTGTAAGGCTCACGTCCCCATCATACAATGTCTTTTTACATATTACAGGCACTGCTGTATGACAGGGATCCAATGATGATCTCAGCCTCTGGCTCCCCTGTGGGTTGTGAGCTCCATCCCATTCCCGTGCTGGTTTGATCTTAGACTTCTGCTTTTCCACAGGGGTGACTGCTGCTGGCTGTGACTGCTCCTGCAGTTCAGCTGGAACCTGGGCTGTTGTAACATCTGTGGATTCCACTGCTGCACCATTAGACTCTCCGTCTTCAAGGTAAGGGGAGGGTTTCCCACCCAGCTGCTGAAGTCTCTTCAGCACCAGGCCCATCTCGCATCTCTCCGTCACCAGAACCCCCACCCAATCCAGGTGTGTGGAAGAGGTTTTACAGTGACTTCTGTGAGCCAAAAAGAAGTTTGATAAGAGGATCCATGTTTATCCCTGGAAGAATTTCCTACCAAGGTCATTGACATAGAAACCAAGAAAGAAGGATAAATAAGAGAAACCTGCAACTGCCTATTCCAATAAGCATGTTGTTTGTCTCTTCTGACCAATGAGTAAAGTGTAAACTTAGCAGTTTTAAAATAAAGTATAAAAAGCATGCATGCTAGAACAAAAATGGGTTTGAAGCCTTCTGAAAATGGAGTGTTACTTTATGTTGTCTCCGTCTCAGCTATGACTGTCTCAACTACAACAAATGGTGACCACTGAGGTGATCGGGAAGCAGCTGAAAAGGGCTGCCAGCAGCTGGGAGAGCTGTGACTGTTGGGTTGTGGGGCGAGGCACAGCCAGAGATAGGGCCCCAGTGTAGCTTTTGAGAGCAGCAGGAAGATGTTGCCTGTCTGGATGAGATTGATTTTGACACCTGGAATGCAGGTAAGCCACTGGAAACAACAGGGAGTTACAGTAAACCATAAAGCAGCATGGAGAGCTGCTGTAGGTCCAGACCAAACTTTGACACCTAAAGGTGAGCCACTGGGGAACATAATGGAGAATCAGTTAATACAGGAAGAGAAACTGTTTCAGAGTTTTGCTGAAGAAGAAGGATTTTCAAGCTTTTAATCATGCCCTTCGTGGTGTGTTGTGGAAAATTATAGGACTTTGAAACCGATGCCAGTACTGCCTTTATATGTCAGAATATGGAAGAACAAGAAATGGGAGTTAATGGGGAACAGCAGAAAGATGGGATTCAGCTTGAGAATGTGTTTTTCCCTGAGGAGTCTGCTGGAGTTGCTTTTGAAGGAATTTTTCCAGCATCTGTTATTGTGGGAGGAGACAGGTGATGCTCCTCTGTGTCTCTCTGAAGGACCGTGTTAAGCCTGTGTGGCTTTCTTTGGCACAACAATTAATCGAACGGAATGCTAAGTTAAAATATGTTACTTCTGCTGAAATGCATTCACAGAAGAGACAAATTGAAGAACAAGCCAAGTTGTCTGTCCCGCCACTCCCCCCCAAGTGGTCTGTCCCTCCACTCCCTCCCAAACTGAACAGACGAATGGTTTCATTAACTCTGCAATTTTTCGTTGCCTGAAATGCCGGTGATAAGATCTCCTGGTGGGGCCTCTGCCCTTCTACCTCCCCACCCTGAGGGGGTGCGGCTGCCGGCACCCAGGACAGGGTGCTGCGGGTGTGGGGGAGGGACGCGACTGTTCGGGACACCCCTCGAAACCCCTGGGACCTCCCCCCACCCTTGCTGCCCTTTCGGAGGCTGTGCAAGCGGGGTGGGAGCTGTATCCAGACGGAGGGGGATGTGTCTGCTGCACACATTGGAGGAAATCTGTGGGAGCAGGGCTGGAGCCGTCCTGTGCCGTTTCCCTCCCCTTCTTCGGCTGATGGCTGCCCTGGGCCTCTCTCAGTACTCTCAAAAGTGTTGGGAGCCGCTCAGAGCTCTGTGTTGCCTCTCCACCTAGAGGAACCTCGACCCCTCCCTCACCCTTTGAAAAGTTTAGAAATTTAATAAGAAACAATCTTTAGATTCTAAAGTCTGATAAAAAACAGTAGAAAAAAAAATCTAAAGGGAACATTACTGAATATTGCAACAATGAAATACTTAGTTTAAAAACCTTTATCATCAGTGTATTTAATGTATTGTATTCAATATTTGTATATTATTTAAAGTATTAATGTACATTTAGGCAACATTGATTCTGAATATGTGGGACAAATTCATGCAATGGTATCTGTTAGAGAACCCCCTGTTACTATTCAAAAAGGAATTTGTATTGTTCAACTTGTTCTTTTTGTGAATTTTGCTCCAATTGCAGTGAATCGGACTCATAGTACAGGAGGTCTTGAATCTACAGGACCACCTCAACTATTTAGGACAAAAAAAGTGACAGATCCATGCCTGGAAAAGGCCTGCATTATTACAGCCAAGGGACATATCCAGAGACCACAATAATAGCAGGTTTGATTAACATGGGAGCAGATGTAACTATAACTTCACAACTTTTTTGGCCTCAGTCATGGTCTCTCACTCAAGCAGGTTTTGGAATCATGAGGCTGAGTGGCTCTACTACAGGCCTATCTGCCATTGTTATTAATGTAAAAAATGCTGATGGCCAACAAGCTAACATCAGGCCTTATGTTGCCAATGCCCCATGTAACTAATTTAGATAAGGAGCTGCAAATGGGAGAAATATAGCCATGACCAGATACCACCCAAACCAGGGTAAGCTAGACCACATGGTGACACTTAACAAGGTTTCTATACACACAACAAATCAGGTTACTCAAGAACTGTCACTCCTTTGTCACCCTTTTTCTCTCAATGCCCTTGGGCCCTATGTTGGGTGCCATCTGTCTTGGTATGAAAGACAGGTGTCTGCTATGGAAGGCAGGAGCCTCCCTTGCAATGGAGAATGTAAACCCTCTCCCTCTGAATTATGATGATTTTGAATTAAGGGGCCCACAGGCAAAGATATGGGGATAGGAGTAACAATTTTTTACTAGTATGTATAACAAGGCAAACAAAACAACAACGACGACATTAACAAGAAACAGAACCAGAACCCCAGTCCCAGCCTTCTTGGCCGCAGGCACTTTCCCCTTGGTGCAGTTCCGGTCATGGCTGGCAGGGGCGCTGGTGGCTCCCGCTGGGCAGGGCAGGTGCAGTGACTCCCCCGGGGCTGCAGGGGGCACTGTGGTGCGAGCTCGGGGAGCACACTGCTATGGCGGCTTGGCCCAGATGGGAAGGGATTGAAGAAAGGCTTTGCTGCACAAACCCCTTGGGCCAGTCGATCCCGGTGCCCCAGCAGGACTCTTGGAAGCAGTAAGCTGGAATGGCAGGAATGCGCAAAAATCCCTGGCTGGTGGACGAAATGTATCAGAAGATCCATGGCAGTAGTTGAACCTGTGGGACATCCTGGCAGGGCAGGGGATATGGGGTCCAGCAGCAGAAGAAAGGCAGCTCCTATCTGGGTTATGGTGGTGGCAGAGAATTCCTTTCCCCAAGCTGCAGATGTGACCATCCTACTTTGAAACCCAGAGAGAGTGAGACCAGCTGCGCCCAATCCCATCCTTTATCTGCCCCAAATCTTGCGGTATCTCTCTCCTTGGAGAGAACATCCCAGAGAAAAATAAGTGTAGCCAGATGCTACACTCCTCTCCCAACCCTGGCCACTTTTTTCTTCAATACCCATAAGTACCCAATAATTAGTTTCTCAGCAACTTATGGGAAAAAAAAAATCTATAAGTAAAAAAATAAAGAAACCTACCCACCCCCAACAACTAGTGTTGTAACAGATGCTACTCTTAAATCTCATAAAATTGCCTATATTTTGGTATTTCCTCCATGAGTTCATATTTCCCCATGAAAATATAGTGAAGTCAAAACCAAAAAAATCTTGAATTCTTTTTCATGCTTTTGATAATTTTTAAAAATAATGTTTAATTTGCAGGAACTCTTTAAGCTGCGTGGAACAGGGTATTTTTTGAACTTTCTTTTGTCATCCTCCAAGTAGTTGTTAAAACAAAAAGAAAGCAGTTGAGGTATCACCTACACAGTAGACAACTCAATTTGTTGCAAGATAATCTATACATGCTGGGGTATACAGCGAGGTCTCTACCTCTTTTAACGTAATTGCTTCTGGGTGAAATTTTTAGTTGCACAATGTAAAGCTTTGTATACTTTTTGCTGAATTATTAAACTTTTTAAAATAAATTGTTTATTCCATATGAACTGCTACTTTTTTCTTGATATAATAGCATTTCTCTATTATGCAAAATATACAGAAACCACAATTTCCCTTTCTATTCAAAGGGAATTTCTATTCAAACAGATTTTAATTGAAATTTGTCTGAATGGCCTAGCCTTTGTTATTTTTATAATCTTATAACTTGTTTATATTTTCTTCTTTTCATAGTTCATATGAACTTATTTTAGAGGTATTATGAATGATCATGCACACGAAAAAGCAACTTAATTTCTTAACTTTTTGTTCAGAAAACAACAGATTATTGAGTTCAATTTTCTGTTTTACTGGAAAAGAATTACTATTCTGTCAAAAATAAAAGTGGTATTTCAGAGGAAAGATTCACCTTTAGCTAGTTAAAAACTTTCCAGGAGTATTACTTTGTTAATTACATGAAGCATATTTCTTTTTTTGTTGTTGGTTCCTCTCCGTCTCCTCAGTTTGTGCATAGTTCTTTATTTTTCCAAATATTTACTCTTCTTTAGATTTTTATAAAGGGAAGGGGGCAAAGGTGATTGGACAACGTCTGTGTTGAGAATTAGCTACAATAATGTTAAGAAAGTAACCAGACGCTTAACTAAAATATTTAATACTCTGTGTTAGAGTGAAAAGCTCTTTTTAAGGAAAGGCATGCTTTTGAATTATGACATGGGGAAGTAATTTGGGTGCATGTTTTTGAGATATCTAACTACCCACAGAGGAATTATGCTAAAACTGAAGCTAGTTTCAGGTTTAGTATCTTTCATTGGAAGTTGGACCTTCTGAAATCCATTGCAAGGTAGAACTCACAAGTGGGGATTTTCTTTTTTTTTTTTTATTTGAGGGTGTAATTGTCTTGGTGTCGACCCTAGTTTTGCGTCCAGCTCTGGGGTCCTCAGCACAAGAAAGGCATGGACCCCCTGGAGTGAGTCTAGATGAGGTCTACAAAGGTGATCACAGAACTGGAGCACCTGTGCAAAGGAGACAGGATCAGAAAGTTGGCAATCCTCAGTCTAGAGAAGAGAAAGCTCCTGGAGACCTAGAGCCCCTTCACCTAAAGATGGCATTGTAAGAGCAAGAATTTTTATGCAGGCAGATAGTGACAGGACCAGGACAAGCAGTTTTAAACTAAAGTGGAGAGATTTAGATTGGGTGTTAAGGAGAAGTTCCTTACTGTGAGGGTGTTAAGGCACTGACACAGATTGCCCAGGGAAATTGGATGGATGCTCCATTCCTGGGAGGCCAGGTTGGACAGGACTCTAAGCAACCTGCTCTGATGAAAAGCGTCCCTGACATGGTACAGGTTTGGAGTGAGATTATCCATACAGCTCCTTCCAACTCAAACCATCCTGTGATTCTATGAATTCTCAGGAGGCAGACAAAGCTTGACAAAATACAAACAGATGTTAAGTATTTGCTACAGAAATACAATTTATCTATTCAAGCAGAATGCTCCTATTTGTTTCCAGCTCACACATAAGGGACCACAGTGACGCATTTAAAACCGCAAAATTTACGACAAAACTGTTGAGCAACGCGACTATTTCCCAGTGCTCCTTTGGGACAGACTATCCAGCTGTCTCCCCTTCGGACAGATCCAGGTGGTACGCAGTACTGGCTATTCTGCAAGGAGGACACCTACTTCCCTCGGACCAAGCGACTCTGCCTCGTTCCTCGGAGAGCCGCCCTGGGTACATCTAACCGCGGCCACGACCTGGCACAGGCCCAGCCACCCTTCCGCCCTCAGTCCGCGACGTTGTGCATGCGCAACGTCGGCACGGGAGAGGGAGATGTGACCTCGGCGCATGCGCACGTTCCGCTTCCCCCCACTCCTCCGCCGGGCTCCGTTTACGCTGCCGCCGTGTCGGACCCCTCCCCGCTCCCCCTACTCCTCTACCGGAGGCTCCGACGGTGCCGTGCCTCACGCGGAGGTCGGGGGTTGGGGAAACTCCACGCTCGGGGCGACCTCCTGCATCACGTGGTTGGGGTCGCGGCGGTGTCCTGCCCGAGACAGGCTAGCCCCGCGACGCCTGACAGGGTTGTCGCCAAGGGGCCCACGGGCCGTGCGTCACGGCAGGCGCCTCTACCTTCTTGACTTGTCGCTAGCCGGTGGGGGTACAGCGGTGAGGCCGCGGTTGTCCGTCGCGCGCTGTCTCAGCGCTCCGCGGCCTCGCCCGCGCAGGCGGCTGGTCGGACAGCTCTGGAGGGCCTTGATCGCGGCGGGCTGCTGGCGTGACCTCGGGGCGCGCTGGTCTGGAGCAGCGAGCGGGCGGATTTATGTGCCGGGAGTGGGGCCGAGCTGGACGGCAGCGGCGGCTGGCGGGGCCGACGCGGGCATCATGGTGAGCGGGGTGGCCGGGTCCGCTCGTCTCCCTTGGATCGGGGCTAAGCTGTTTCAGGCCCCGGTTCCTGGCTGTTAGGACAGCTCGGAGGTTTGGGCGCGTTGGGTGGGGGCAGGGAGGCAGCGGAGTTGACACCATCGAGCTCTGTAATTGGCGTTCGTGAGCGGAACACCGCGGCGTCTGCTACCTTCCGCGATCTAACATCGACACGGTTCTACTGCCCACTGGTTGTTTCCCTCTCTGCTGCTTTTCCACTGGGAAGTAAAGTGATCCACTGCACTTAGTGCTCTGTAACGGGGTTAGGATGCCTCTTAATAAATGCACAAGATTTTTCTCCCTCTCTATAACTACCTGACAGTAGGTTGTAGTGGGGTGGGGACTAGTGTCTTCTACCGTGCCCGCAGTGAGATGCGGGGAAATGGCCTCAAGCTAAGACATTGGAAATACAAATTAGACATTAGAAAAAAGAAAATTCATTGTTTGGGTGGTCAGGCATTGGAATAAGTTGCTCAGCGAGGTGGTGGAGTCACGATCCTTGGAAGTGTTTTAGAAACGTTTGGACCTGGTGCTTGGTGATGTGTTTTAGAGGTTCAGGGATTACAGTAGCAGTGCTGGGTTGACGTTTGGTCTTGATGATCGTAAGTTCTTTTCCAGCATTGATTCTATAACTGTCTTAAGGGTCTCCTTAAATTTTCTGGGAACCGAGCGTGTATGTGATCTTGGATATATCCAGAAACCTTTGCCAGACACTTTGTTATTCACTGCCACAAGTTCACTCTTGGTGCTCTGGGTCATGTCACAGCTGCCATGTGTACTGTGGCAGCATGTGAGTATTGTAGGATCACAGAACAGTTGGGGCGGGAGAGGATCTCATGAAAAAAGTCCCACCTCAAATTGCTTTTCACAGGAAATATCTCAGCACAGCTACAATTTATTGGGCTAAATATAGTGCACAATAAATGACCTTGTAACATAGTAGAACAAAGTTTGGTGTAATTCCTACTAATGATGTAACTTTGTTGGATATATGTTGCTTCAATAGAGCAGGTTAAGTATTTAATGAATATTAAATTATATAAATATATATCTCTATAGATATATGCTGAATTTTGTATTTAGATCTTAGTTAGCATTTAAAACACTGGGATTTATTGTGTTAGCCTTGAATGTACTTAGATTTGAGATACAAGGAACAGGGTCTGCAGGTATTAGAATTATTTTGTACGTGCCATTAATATATTTCTGTTCCATATGACTGTATGAATGTGTCAATATGTGATTTTAGCTATGGCACCAGTGTCTGTTCATTGGTCCAAGTCTTAAGAAATGCACTTTACAAGTATATTTTTGATAAAACCTGCCTTTTTACTGTTCTCTACTTAGAAGTTTAATCATGTTGTTCCACTACAGTAGTTTTTATAGTGTAAATTCTTGTATATGAAAGGAATTATATTTTTTTCTCATTGAGTCTTTTCCTTTTTTCTTTTTTTAAATTTTTTTTCTGCAGGGGTTAGAATGGTTATTCAAAAGGCCTTGAGATGCTCCTCTCATCTGTAGGAGTCCATGAGAGCTGTGGTCTAGTATGGGAAGCTACATTTGGAAAATTGCAAACAAAAAAGTTTTTCCTTTCAGTGTAGGTCCTTATTTAAATTAATTGAGTGCTTGCTTGTGTTGCCTAATTGAAATATCAGGTCCAGTTTTCTTTACTGTGTGCTGGCAGTGTGGACAAATAAACTTTGTGTGTGATTCCATGACATAAGCAAAGGCAAAAGATGGTAGTCTACTTCTGTGCTGTTTGGAAGCTATATTTTCCAGTTCCAAAGCAACAGGAGAATGAAACATTGATCAGTTTTTTTTGTACCAGGAGGCCTAGAAATCAGGTTATAAACATCAACACCTGCCAGGCTGGGACTGTCAGAACTCTTCTGTTCAGTTGCAGTGCCAGTTAGGCCATGACTTTAAGCTCTGCGCAAGTGTCTTAATACTTTGTAAGAACATGGTGTTTTAGACTGTTCAGCAGAGGTGTTAAAGTCTTCTCACTTTTTATACTTGAAATGATTCCTGTAATGGCAGAGCCTGTTCTTTAAAAGGGAAGTCTTCTATAGAGTGGGAACTTCTGTAGTTCCTACTTGTCTTATTTGTGGAAATACTGGGCAAATTAAATTTTTTTAATCTCGGAAAAATAATAATGGAGTATAACCTTCTTTTCCCTATGTAATATGTAAGTTCTCTGAACTAGTTTTATTTATAATTTAATAATATATATATATATGTTGGTATTCGCTGCAACAGTTAGTCTGTATTGCCTCTTCAGTAATAATGAGAAATTTGCATTTTTATAAATGCCCTTGTTCCATCCATGAGATTTCTGTAGCAATAACATGATTTGCATAATGACCACTAGTTCTGTAATCTTTGTACTTAGAGAGCCTTAGTGGTAAATGAAGCAAGACTGTCAGGTAAAATGCTGTTCACTGACTAAAGTTGTTTGGTTTCAAACAAATGACCTTGTCTCAAAGGGAGTCATGCACATCTGAGTCCTTCCACACAGCAGTTTATGGCTCTTCTTTGATTCTGTGGAAAGACAGTGGTCAAGAGAGAAGTGACCTTTGGGTATGAAAGACTGTGTGAGGGTGAGCAGTTAGGTGATATTATTGAACACCTTGTATATTCTTCATGCCACTTTTAGCATCCTTTTTGTAAACAATGTAGGTATGTGAAAATTCTAATTCAGGGGAGCCTTGATCGTGAGAATAGAAAAAAAAATAACAATCTGATCTTTTAAAAGAGTTCTCTTGGTCCAAAATTAGCTGTATGAATATCTGTTGTCTACATACCACATGATTTGAACTGGCTCAGATTGATGATTATCATAATGACTATAGGTATTCTGTGAAAGTAGTCTTTTTCACAGGAAGCATGCACTTTAAGATGTTGCACAGCAAGCTCACTTTTCTTTGGCTGTCTTGTATAATATTTTCTGCTGTTTAGGAAACAGTTTTGAATTGCATTTATGTTTCAGGACAACACTGTTTTGCTTTTGCAAGCTGGAGCTTTAGCATGGACATAAACACAGGGAGAAAAATTTGCATGTGGGAAAAGGTCTCATTTACAGCAAAAGCAATAATATGTCAGCTATTAAATGGCATTTCAAAGTGGATTTATCTTCCAGACTTCGCAAATACCATTGCACGTTTAAAATTGCAGGAGATAGGAGTATTTTTTTTTTCTCTTAAAAATCTTGGTGGCCACTATTGTTACAATGCCTTTTCAGTTTCTTACTTGAAAAATCAACAGCCATGTTCGTGTGTTTGTGTCCTATCATTGAAAGGTATTGTTATGCCCTGTACTAACATCTATAGGATACTCAAGTACAGTTGTGTTAAAATCTTGTTTTTACAAGACTTGCCACTTCAGAAAGTAAGCAGTGGGCATTAAATTTCTGAAGGTGAAGTTGTGAAGGGGATTTTACCAGCTGGTTTTCAGTCGTGCAGTTGTATGCCTACTGCAGTAGTGGTGCATACGGCAGTTGGCTTCAGCTCAAGGCCCTCATGTTGTAATGGAGGAGATGGTTACTGTATGAGAACAAGTAGTTTCAAAGTCCTGTGTAAAGCTGGGTATTTGAATTATTTGTCATAGGTAGATAGGTGGTAAAGGGAAGAAAAGACGGAAACCTGTACCCTTTTACTACAGGTAAGGAGGAATAACCTTGGGCAAGGTCAAAATAAGGAGACTGGAGTGGTGTCTTTGTATAATACAATCAACCTTGTCTATCTTTGTACTTCATGTTCTATAAATCATATAATGATGAAAAGAAAAATATTCTTTAGGTAGAAGTACTTTTAAAAATTTGTTGTGTTTTTTTTTTTTTTGTTACTGTGAGATAGCTGTTGGTGTTTTATAAGTACACTTACTGTGTAGATAGGAGTATTGTAACTTTATCTTAACTGTTTATTCTTAGTTTTTGTCCGTCTATTAATCAGCAACTGTCTCTAGGTATGTACTATAAAAGACAGTGAAAACCGAAGTCCAGGTTATACTTCAACCTTAGACTTTTTCGTTTTTGGCCTGCCATTTCTTTCCTAACAATTTGAAGAAATCGTCAAGCTTCGCTTTAGTGTAACTGCTAAAAATATTCTTGTGGACCACTTAATGTGTTCTCTGCTATGTTTTATTTAAAGCTTTTATGTAAAGTATGTTATGTTACTCAAACAAAGATAGGAATGCCATGGTTGCTGGAGGATCAGGAAGTGAACACAGTCCTCAAGATTTATGAGACACCTCTCATCAAAGATCTTACTCTGTGGCAGAGAGACAGCCAAACTGCAGTTTATTAGACTGTGTTGTTGCTGCATGGCTGTGCCATTTCAGTCTTTTTGAGCAGGAGGTTGCTTGCCATCTTGTGTTTTGCAGAAAAACTGACTTACATAGTCAGCTTTGGCCCCCATGCTTCCCAGTATTAGAGAGATTGACTGAAATGTCTTTAATCAGCAGAATACAGACCTTTCTCTCTAGTGTCTTGAGGTTGGTTTCAAGTTTCAAGCTGCAAAGCTGAAGCATGATGAGGACATGGATGTATGTGGAATCAATGTTGAAGGCCTTATGAAATGGTTTCAATTCCACAGACTTTAACTGCAGACACTTTATTTTGTCTGTGCAGCAGTTCCTCATCTCTTAACAGTGAGTAGTGTGTCTCTTAGTTTTGGGTCAACCCAGTCACTGTTTGTGTGCTTATTACTCCAACACAGATCAGGTGGTAGGTTCCAGGGTTTGTTTACGAGAGGTCCGCAAAACCCTCTGTGGTGTCTGCTTTGCCATGGAGCATCTTCTTCCTCAAACACATATCACTCTATTTCTCATACTCTAGATTTTTAAAGTTGTAGATTTCTGAGTAAGATCTGAATCCGGTGTCTTCCGATTTAGAGTGTGCAAATAGAGGATGTAGGGTATTGGTGGAAACCAGGAACTAACCTTCATTTGTGGTTCTGAAATGAGTTGTTTTGAATTTAAACTGATACTTGTGTCAAGTGAAGACTCAGAAATGTGGGGAGACTGGATCTAGACAGAGCCTGAATGGAACCCTGTATTTGGGGATGGAGGGAAAATGTGTTCTAGTGGTGTAATATGGGGTAGTTTGGGGTGTTGTAGATTTTTCTGGAGTGTGTTAGTAAACCTACAAGTAGAGTGTAAACACATCCAGACAAAGAGAGTTGGCAAAAAGTCGTGCTGTGCGCATAACATGTTATTTTTACTCACTGTGTCATCTAATGTGTTCCTGTGACTATTGTTCTTGGTAGATTGCAGGAAGATTAATTTAGTGGATTAAAAAAAAATTTCTTGTGACAGCTTTTCTCTATTAGTATATTGCTTGTGATTGATTACTAACCTTCAGAAATCGAGAAAAATGCCAACATATGGCATGTATGTGTATATATTGATGTATATACATTTTTAAATTGCTTAAAGTTTAGAAAAATACCAGAAGGATATTAGGATATTTCCTCCACAAAGTCAAAATTAAGTTTAGAGATGTCATTGGGGTTTTGGGTTTGGTTGTTGTTTTTTGTTTTTTTTTTCAAGTGGCTTAAAACTTTATCTAGGTTGTTTTTATTTGTACACTGAAAGGTTTGTAAGTGCTTCTATTTTTATCGAATACATCAGTAACTTTATTGGAATGAGCACTATAAATTTCTGATGAAAGGGGTATATAGGGTGCAGAAAGACATTCAGTGGCAAAGAGAAATTGTTCCTCATGGGTTCTACTACAATGTGCAGCCTTTATTTGAGTAAGGAAATTAGTTTCTATTGGTAAACTTTTAAGTAATTTTAAGTATTTTATCTCACCTATTGGACCTGCTGCCCTGTATAAAAAAAACTGCCTTGATTTGCATCTTTTTCCCTTCTCTCGTCTTAAGGCAATTTCTTTCCCTTACAGATAGGAAGCTCTAGGAGTAAATGAAGAGACATACTGGCATCTGATTAGGCTGTGCTTCTAATAAATACATTATTCTAGAGAAATATTAATGTAAGTTCACCCTGAGAGAGTGAATTCTGAGATTAAAGGTTTAGTAGAGAGGCTAGATGAAGGGACAGTGATTTCTGTGTTACACTGGGTGGAAGTGGTTATGGAGCTTAGTGTGAGATGGTCAGAAGAAATATTTGATTTTAAAGTGGTTTATGTTGTACCCAAAGAGTATATACATCCTTAGCAATTTAGTCATGTAAGTATGGCATATATACTATGCATGCAGCTGGTAACACTTTTTCGTTAGGAGTGCACTCCCTTAGCTAGGGAGCTGGTGGAATTGGGTTGAGTAATCTATGTACAGAACTATACATAATCCTTAATAAAGCTTGAGTGTCCAAATACATACAGCTCCTGATATCAGTGAAATAGAACATAAACAAAGGTGAGGTTTTACTTTTTGAGATACCTCAAGGAGTTGTTGGCACCAAAATGTAGAAGCAGTAGAAATTCCAAGGAAGGAGAAGGTGAAGAGACTCGAACACCAAAGAAACTTGATGGTATCTGACACCCCCCTCAAGAGGTGTTACTTCAAAGTATAAATAGTAATACCTCCTTTTATTGATACATTGCACTTTTTTATGAGATGTAGTAACATATTGAAAGTGTTTATAAATATCTAAAGGATAATTTGTGCTATCTCTGTTGCCCTCAATCATGTTGAATTATGGATAATAATGTATATCCAAAAACATTTAATCTGCCTATGTTTTTTAATAAAAGCAGTATCTGCACAATTTGTGTTTTACTAAAGGAGAAAGCATTGAAGGAATAAAAGAGTGCATGCACTTTCCTTAGTACATTACTTAGGATAAAAGATTATACTGCTGGTAGGGAGGGGGAAAGTTGGTGTAGAGTTGTAGGTTTAACAGCTCATTGCATATCAGGTGTTGATAGAAGAGAATTGGCTTATGTGACTGTGGGACTCTCTCTTGAGGTGCAAGGACTGCTAAGGCAGAACAGTATCCACCTGACCAAGTGGGATGAGAGCATCTTTGCCAGTAGTGTGGCCAAACTGGTATTTAGACTAGGATTTAGAGAGGAAAGAGGTGATGACCCTCAAATCAAGAGGAAAGGGTGGTGGGCTGAGCTGGTAAAGTAAGGATGAGGATGATGTGGAGAGGAGTCCTTGAAAACAACTAATCAGAGAAGATAGAAACCCACACGTGGGTAAACAAAGAGGAAATGTCTGTACATATATAATAAGGCCAGTATTGTGAGGGGGAGGATCTTAGATCTCTTGAGGGAGATTAGCTGTAGTGACCTGAGAACGCCTTTTCCCTTTGATGAAGTTTGTAAGTGATTGTAGCAAGTTTCAGAGATTTTTTTTATATGCTTCAGTATTCTGCCCCCTCACTCCTCCTGTATCATGGCTGTTCTACAGACTTAATTACTAAATTATCTTTTTTTTTTTTTAAAGATACTTCACCAGTTTTTTTAAAACACATACTGACTTGTTATTAACTTACTTCTCTACAGGGTGTGATAAGTGTACAGTTGGTGGTTACCATGGTAATGGCTAGTGTCATACAGAAGATCATACCCCACTATTCTCTTGCTCGTTGGCTTCTCTGTAGTGGCAGGTAAGATAAGTGTGAATATGGTAATGCAATTGTGCATCGGAGTAGTAACAGTAAAACATAGTGATTTTGTTTGGATTTTTTTAAAGTAATTCACTTTTGTTAAATTTATTACCAGAGCATTGTTACACCTGATTTGTGGGCTCAAGGCAAAATGACAGTATTGCTGTAAAAGAAGATAGTTGTTTGTTGCTATTAATTGTATCAGTCATAAAGTTAATTTTGTTCAGCTCTTATATTAAAGGTACTAGGTGCATCCTTTATTATTAAAAAGCTAAGTTCAATACAATATACTGAAGAATAAAAGGATTTCCTTTTCCTCTGCACTGTCTGTGTTTTTGATAATCTACCTCCTGGATTAGCCTTGCGTATGAAGAGTGCTTAGTTATTTATTAAAAATTCTATTCCTTTTTAATATGTCAAAGGACAGGGTTAATATAAATTTCAGTACACTACTTCCTTATGACAGTAGATCAAACAGATATGAGTTGCAAGCTGAGCATTCCCTGTATCCATAATAACAATGAAAAACATTAGCTGTTTTGAATATAAAACACTATGTTAAATATTAAAAGGAATCATAGATAGTGTTTTTTCATTTGGTAAGAAGAACACTTTGTACGATTAGCAGGTAGTGTGCTGTCTTTTGTAACTGTTAAAATTTTGAGAATATCAAATCCTTACTGCCTACTTTCTGAAAGTTTCTATTATCCTTGAATAATAATGTACTCCATAGGATTATGAACAAGTCTTTGCACTGACTTTTTTCTCTGCATCTCATAATTATCCGCTCGTTCCTTTTTAATATTCCAGATTTCATCACCCATCAAGTTGCTAATGAAAAGTGACTGTAAATGTTGTTTAGATGTATGTTAGATATAACAGAAAACGGTAATTGTCGTGGATAACACAAACAGGAATCATACACTTAATTGTAGTGTGAAGTTTCACTGTTACCCATAGCAGGGTGTTAATCACCTTTCTTGTGCTCTAAAAAGAACATGACACTAATCAATATGAAACTGCCTACCATGTATTTTTAAGGTGTGAGAGGTCACCATGACACTCTTTTTTTATCAGCAATTATCCAAATTGCATATTGTACTTTTTATGTCTAAGATTGATGTAAACTTTTCTTTGAAAATTTAAGTATCTAATTGCTCTTGCAAAATAATTTGTCAGTATTATGCCCATGTTCTTCGCTCTTGTGAAGTTTTCAATTACTGAATCCTTGTTTTAAGGCATGCCATGTGCCAGCGATACGGAAAAATGTGTGTTTAATTATTTTTCAAATCCATTTCACCATTTATCTTTGCGCATCTGCAGATTGATAAATCTGCAGATGCACAAAGATCTTCAAGCAGGATTTCAGCACTTGTGCTTAGGTAATTTTGCTGTTACTGAAGTCAGTGGGAATTTTATTATTGCCTTCCATGTTAGTAGCCTGTTGCTTTTCAGTTTTCTTTTATGTATCTGGTCGCTATTTTAGTGCATTGTAATTTCAGGCACTCTGAATAATTCCCTGAATACAGGAATTGTATAAAGAGTAAGAAATAATTCTGTGTTCTAGAAATAAAAATAAGTCAGAAGATTCACTGCAACAAGAATTTTAATGGTAGAAAGAAACACATTTTTTTACGGTAGAATTTTAATGGTAGAAAGAAAAACAGGTATTTTTTTAGCGAACCTGATAAACTGTCTTTTATTTCTAACCCATTTCTCCATAGTGCTGTCTTTTTGCCAGCAATATTTGACAGACCTGTGTGGGTAGGGTGGTAGAGGGTTTTATACGTGTAAGTGTGCAGCTACAGGCACATTCCTAAAGCAATCCAGCTGTCTAAGAAAAAATTACCACCTGCTCCTCCTTAACGTTTGTTAGTAAACTTCAACTAGTTTTTGGTCTCCAACAGTGGTTTTTAAGTGTCTTTGTTTGAATATGACTGCAGATAACCCTTGCTAAATGGGAGGGAGGATAAACATGTTATCAGAAAAGACAGAAATATTAAGTGACTAGTTTGTTTAAAGATGCCTGTTTATGGGAAGTCTGTTAAAAGGAAACAAGGACTTCTCAAAATCTGAAAGAATTGTTAGGATAGATAGACTTAAGGTAGTTACTTGTTAATGGAATAAATAGCTGTCATTTAATCTTGAAGCGCAATTTACATAAATTTGTTAAGAAATACAAACTTTTTCAATCAATGCTATTTTCAGAGCTTGAATGCAACTAAATAGATTTATTGAAATATTTGGCAGCCTAAATATCTGCATAGGCCTTGCATAATTTTTAACTAATTGTCCTGGATTAGGGCAAATCTGGGAGAAAACCTCCAAAGGGGGCCACCCCCCCCAGAAAGCAAACCCACATGGCCCTCCCCCATACTGTTTTGGGAAGGATTCCAAGTGGAAAGAAGCTGTTTATTTAACAGGCAAAACACCCCCAGCACACAAAGTGAACAATACCAGATGACAACACTCTTTCACCGATCTGAAAAGGATGACAAATTCAGAAAGTCTCTCCTGGGAGTGGTTGTTGTCGCTCCCTCCAGCACTGGGGATAGCTGCTGCAGCCACAAGATGCAAGCTCTTGGTGTTTCCGAGGTCCCAGTCCAGAGCAGGTTTGGATGGTTCCAAGAAGGGAAAGGAAAAAACAGTCCAGGGAAAAATTTGAACTGCTTAGCTAAACTAACTAACAAACAAAGCAGGAGCTCAGCAGAAGCAAGAGCAAAGCAAAATGCAAAGCCAAAAAGCAAAAGTACTGCCCCATCTCTCTGTCCTGCCAGCCGTGGGGGAGCAGGCTGATAAGAAACCAAAACAAACCTGGCTCTTCAGAGCCAGTCTTGAAGGCACAGAACATAACATCCAGCATTAACAGAACATATGACTGGCGATACAAGCATGGTAACCTCACCCTAGGACACTAATAAAACATTCTCTACCAAAGCATTGCTTTTAAGTCACTCAGCTATTTCAGCTACTATGTTTTGAGGCCATGTCAGGATACAGGGGAAAATGGTTTTTTTGTTGTAGATTCATTAATGACCTTTATTCAAATTAACTAGGGCATGTCTGTGTGTCTGTTGCTATTCAGACTGACTTGGATATGTCTAAGCCACAAGGTAATCAGTTGTGGGATTTCAGTTTTAAGCATATGTAAGCTAAAACAGATATAAACTACTTTTTATTATCTCTGTCTCCATGAATATGTTTGTTCAAGTCTTTTGGGTTTGAGATTTTAAATGCAAGATGTGCAGAGTTTATCAACTGAAAAACACCAAAACTCTGTATCCTGTTAGTTGTAATTAGATATCACTTGCAGTGTCATTATGTAGTATAATTAGGAGCAAATTGTGGTATAATTTGTGGTTTGATTTATGTTAGCATGCTACACCAAACAAGAATTTTGTCTGTTCTGCTGCATTAGGTACCATTTCTCTGTGCAGGAAAGATTTTGAAAAGTGTCTTTACCGCCTAGGTGGCTTTCATCATTAGCATCCCAAGTGCAGATCAGAGTGATGTGGTAAATGACAAAACAGGACAATAGATCTCTGCTTTTTCACAGTTGCTTTGGGTCATGTGAAGGATAGAAGTTAACATATCCAGAGTAGTTTGATTTCTTGGATGAAAAGCTTGTTTCTCTGGTTTATTTGTGTCTCAGTCTGAAAATCTCTTTTGCAGCAAAGTTTGCAAATCACAGATCCATCAACTGTACTATACATAATAAAAATAAATTAATGAAGTATCTTTCACTCTTACTTATACAAAATTCAGTTCCTTTTTTCCCCATCGAAAACTGTGTTCAAGCAAAATTTGTAATATTTGCCATTTTCAGTTTTGGAACCGGCAGTGAATTCCTTCAGCAGAAATTTGCGTTGTGTGATGGTGTGATGTTCTGTTGGCTGGTACTAGCGTTCTTTTCTCTTGAAGAGTTCCGTAGATGAAGGAAACCTTTCTAAAACAGAACTGGGAATCAAGTGTTATTAAATGGCTTGAGATTGTTTTGAGTTTTGATGCCTTCCATATTTGCCTTTGCTAACTTTTTGAAATTGGATCTGACATAATTTCTAATTCACCAACATGGATTTGAATAGTCCTACTTGGTGAAGTTTTCTTTATGTGAGGTGGTGGTTGTGGATGCCTTTGTCATGTGTTGACCCGTGTCACCATGGGTGACAGTGGCCTTCTGCTTCTGCACACATTTATCATGTCTGTCCTTTTTAATACTTGGTCTCCTTTACCACAGCATTTCAGAGTGGAGATCACAGTGACATGTGGAGATCATAGTGTCTTCCCACATCTGGACAGAATGTAGAAAAGGCTTGTTTCATCTACCAAGGTTTTTGCCATACTTAGAAATTTAGGTAAAATATATCATCTTAGACACTTAACCATCTCTGTTTGTCCTCTTCAAAATTTCCATGCCATTTCTTGCCTTTTAAATGAATGAGCAGTGAATGCTGCATTGATCTGTGAAAGTGGAAAGGCCTGTACGTCAACTATGTGTGATGTTTTTAATAGCACTTTTTCTAGTAGAAGTTGAAGATATTACTGAGAAGGTGTTTAAGGAAAGGGATGTTGATGTTATGATTTGTTCCGCTTAAGAGAAAACATTGGTAATTGATTATTAGGTAATAGTTATTTCAGATTCTGGAAAATTAACTGTGTTAGGCATATAATATACTTTATTAAGTTGTTTAGAATATGGTTCTAATGAGAAATTGTAGTGGTATAATTATTCTAGTGAACTCTCCCAACTTGTATTACTGTGTTTGCTGTATTTGATGATCTCTTTGAAAGTTGGTGTTTAGAGAAATGAAGGGCTTTCATGTGAATGACTAAGTGGCAAAGCTTTCTAATTATGTATAGATGCCTCATTTGCTGTAGAGAGCTGAACTCTAGTTGTTGTTCAGTTCAGGCAGGGTTGGTACTGACACACAAAGGTGTCTTGCTTAGGGGTGACAAATTACAGGTGTCTTAGTAAGTATATAAATCTATGTTGCTATACAATTTTTTGAAAGCCATGTTCTAAATTGCTAATAATGGTATTGTTTTACTTGAGATTTTCTTTTTCTTTAGCTTAAGGTGGTATCAACATCCCACTGAAGAAGAACTGCGGATTCTTGCAGGGAAGCAAAGAGGGAAAAGTAAAAAAGATAGGTAAATACTTGTTTTAAGCTTGTCTTCCCCCTACCTTTTGGGTTTTTTTCAGCATGATATGGTTCATCTAATAACTTTACCAGCCTACTTTTGTCTTAACATGAGTTAAAAGCTGCTAGTTGCATATGACTGCCCTTCTTGCTTTAATTGTCACAGTTCTTTATCAAAACATGTTTTTTCAGTTTAACAGAGTTGGATATTCCGAAATTATGCAGAACTGGTTAATTTTCCATTTCCATAAAACAGTCTGTGAAATGCTGATTTCATGGCAAGTTTTTTTTTAGTGAATGTATGCATTTAGATAAAAATTGTGGAAAGAAATCTTAGTATTATAGCTTTTCATCTTGAAGTGAGGGAAGAAAGATTTGAATATATTAGTTCAACATAGGATTACTATAAGCCACTGCTCTTAACACAGCTGTGAAAAAGGTAAATGGGCTCCTAGGATGTGTTATATGACATGTTTCTAGTGAAGAGAGAGGGAATATTAATCCTCTTGGACAAGACACCAAAGTAGAACTTTATCTGGATTACTGTGTACAGTTCTGATCACTTGTGTTCAGTAAAAATTAATTTTGTATGTGAACAGGTGAAGAGAGCTGCTTAGGATCATTCAGGAAACAAAGTCTGTCTTACTTAAGGGGGCTAAAAAAGCTGGACTTCCTGAATCTGTCAAAAGACAACTGAAAGGATGGAATAGCTGTCTGTCAGCTTAAGCTGGAAATAGATTTCTGGTATTCAGACATGAAATTCTGAACAGCCATACCAGAACTACAGCTGTGTCAAGAACTGAGACATCTTGAGGTGGTGCAGCTGGCCATGTTGATGAAATATGTCTTAATTGGCTTTGTTTAGAACCAAACAATCCACTCTGGTTTTCTTTCTGACAACACAGGAGGTTTTTTCTAGCTCTGGTTCTTCTATTCCAGTATGAACTCTCTTATAAATCTTAAGATTTGAATTAATCTCTGCACTGCCCATATAATCTGTTAATTGTAATTTATTTTTTATTCCTGTTTCCTAGCTCTTAAGCAGCATGGTTAGCAATCATACTTGCCTCATTTAGGTTGGAGAAGACCTCTGAGATCAACCTTTGATCCCATGTCAATTGTGGCCCTAAGGGCCACATCCAGTCATTTCTTAAAAATCTCTAGGGATAATGATTCCACCACATACTGCCCAAGAAGGGCAGCCCATTCCAATTCCATGACAAAATTCCTCTTGAGGTCCATCCTGAACATCCCCTGGCACAGCTTGAAGCTAGGTCCTCTTATCCTGTTAGTAGTTAACATTGAGGAGAGACCATCCCCCGCTTAGCTATCGCTTTCTCTCAGGCAGTTGTAGAGATCAAGAAGGTTCCCTGTGAGCCTCCTTTTCTCCAGGCTGAGTGCCCCCAGCTTCTTCAGCTTCTCCTCATCTAACTTGTACTCCAGACTCTTCCCCAGTTCCGCGGCCCTGGACTTGCTTGAGCACCTCAATGTTTTTCTGGTTGTGAAGGGCCCAAAACTGAACACAGGATTCTAGGTGTGACCTCAGCAGTGCTGACTACAGAATACAGTCACTGCCCTCATCCTGCTGCTCACATTATGTCTGATACAGGCCAGGATGTCCCTGGTCTTCTTGGCCCTCTAGGCCTGAGCAGGCTTATATTCAGTCGCTGTAAACCAGCAGCCCCAGATCCTCTTCCACTGGGCAGTTCTCAGTGATTCTGCCCTCACTGTAGCACTGCATAGGGTTGTTGTGACTCAAGTGTAGGACTCAGCAATTGGACTTGCTGAACCTGATGCCATTGGTGTCAGCCCATCAATCCAGCCTGTCCAGATCCCTCCCCAGAGCCTTCCTGCCCTTCAGGAGATCAACATTCCCATCCAACTTAGTGTTTGGAAATTTACTGAGGGTGTCTTCCATCCCCTTGTCCAGATGATCTATAAAGATCTTGAACAGGACGAGCCCAGTACTGAGCCTTATGGAACAATATTAGTGATCCAGCTGCCAACTGGATGCAGCATCATTCACCACCATTCTCTGGGTTAAGTTGTTTGCTGTAAAGTAATAATTTTTTTTTTTTTTTTTTGCAACATTCCGTAAAATTAAGAACCTCTTTTTATCTTAACAGTTTTCTGTGACAAAAATGAGGCAAAATAATTGTGAATAAGAGCATAATTTATAATTGTCCATGTAACCAGTGATATTTTTTCATATGTGAAATAACTTTAATTATGTAATTGTACTTTTAAGTCCACCCGTAGGAGTCTTAAACTGAAAAACACAATTGAACTGCCACATAATAATTGTGCCTTTGCTCTTACTGCCTTTCCTCAGCCTTGCCATTCTTTTGCAATAGTAATAGTAGGTGGTTGTACCAGGGTGAATGTTAATCAAAGGGGAATATAAAACTTCAAAGAAACTTGAGCAGTAATGTGGAGGCTTAAGTGATGTTTGCTTTGCTTTGCTTGTTTAACAGCCGAATGAATGATTAATTTTTTTTTAATGAATGAATGTACCTCTGTGTCCTTGAAAGAAGTGACTGGTTCGTAAAGAACCATAGTTAAGTGGGAATTGTTCCTGTTGAGTTGGTTTGGATTTACTGATTTAGGTTGCACAAAATGGAATGTGTATCTTCTGAGTCATCCCAACAAGGAGATGTGAAATAGATAATGTGGGAGGAATAAGGATGCATCTGTATGATACTCCCCATGATAAAGAATACTTTGCAAGATCAAGAATCTGCTTTGTCAAGACCGTAGTCTTGCAAAGTGTAACACCTGCTCCTTAAATACACTCTCAGTCTGAACTAATTTAAAGAGAAATTATTAAAGGAGATACAAGGATCTTGCTTGAAGATTTGCCTTAGAAACAGCTGTAGTGTGAAATTTTCATTAGTTTTATTCAGTGCATATTACCCTTCAGTGTATTACACTGTAGGGTTTAGGAGCACAAGAATGTTAGGCAGATTTTCTGCTTCTGAATAGTTTACTATTACTTACTTAAAATTGTTAGGCTAATGAAAAGGTCCATAGGTACTGTAAATTACTTTGAACTAAAGCATTCAATGGTCCTAGGTATGTTCTGTCTGTGCCTCTTGGATTGTGGGGCCCTGCCAAGTGTAGGAACACCAGGTTTTATTGATATGAAGTGGCTTTAGTGGTAAAAAATGCTCATCTCACTCAAGATGATAGTACTCCTGGATACAGGCATTAGGAAAATAATCAGGAGTACTGTTGCAGGCATGGAAGTACACAGGAGCCTGCAGGTAGTCCAGTCCTTGGGCAGTGTTTGGGACTTCTTGTGTAGATTTGCACAACTGAATTTTTTGAGTAATGCTTTAGACTCGTATCTACAGTTTGTCCATTACAATTCTTGTGCTTCAGGTTATACTAAGCATTAATATAACCTGAAAACATTTTATTAATGTTTTCTGCTTGTATTTTCCTCTCACATATGAGCTGAGATGAAAGCATTCCTGAAAACTAAGTTAATGATTGATTTGATTGCTTTTTAATGCTTATATCACAATAATTTGTTTTCCTATGGCAAATCCACCTCTCCTTTTCTAATTTCAGTGGTGGCATTCTAAAATGTGGCAGTTTATTGTTTTCTTCTAGCCTTTTAGAGGTCTTAAGTTTTAGGTATGATTTTTTAATCTAACAAAGCATCTTTTGATCTCCTTTAATGATTTTTTTTAATAGTGTGAGAAGGAAGTTTTACAGTAGTTAGTAATGCTGGTCTACCAGACCAAATTCTTTAACTTTGTTCATCTTCTTTTAAGAGTGTGCTGGGTTTTTTAATTTGAAGTCTTCTAGTATGACTTAATTTCAGGGAAGTGAAAATCAGTATATTGGTATAGTTTGAGAGTGCCAGATGAAAACCACCTTTTGGTCTAAATAGACATATTTTTTAGATTAGAAAGATACCTTAAATTGCCTTTGCTTGGCAATTTAAGGTTGGACCATTCAAGGATCTAGGTTAGTTCAGCTCATGTACTATTTGTTGTGACAAGAGGGACTAATGCAAGGTTTTGGGTTTTTTTCCTTTTTTTTTGACCTTGGGAACATCCTGTAGCTCTGAATAGATAAAATCAGTGGGCAGAAATAAATACTGTCCCCAGGATCTTGACCCAACACATACTCAGATTGAAGGATCTAGAAGCCATTTAAATCCACAGCAGTATATCAGTCTGTGAAGTTATAGCTGGGAGCCATTGACATATCTGGTTGTTTTCCAAGATTTGAACTTAAAGTCCTGCTTTTAGTCAGAGACATAAAAATACTTGTATTTGTAAAAAAAAGCGTTCTGCATTTTTCTAAAATTTTAAATGTCATTCTGTATTGAAAAATTTTATTTTTTTATACCCATGCTTATACTATCTGTTTATTTATTTATTTTACAGAAAATATAATGGTCATATTGAAAACAAACCCTTAACCATTCCAAAAGATATTGATCTTCATCTGGAAACAAAATCTGTAACAGAAAGGGACACTATTGGTAAGAGTATGCAGTAATAATACATTATTTCCAATATATCCTGATTCTTTCTATCAAGAGTTTATTTGTAATTAATGCTGAAATATCTTTTTTGTAGACAGTGAATGAATAGAAGCAAAAATGGTCATAAATGAGAAAGCAGGTAGTAGGGCTTAGTCTACTTTTATTGTTCTATGAGTGACATTTAACAGCAGTGTTGTGGAAAAGGATGAGAAGACGAAATCCATCATAAAGCACAACTGTTGTATCAGGAATCCATAGCAATATGAGACAGCACTGAAAGAATCACATAATTGTCTATTCAAAATAGAGTTTTTAGCTTTGTACAAAAAAATAACAATTGGCAGATGTCAAGTCATACTTTCTGCTCATCTAACATAGGGTATGTGCTGTAGTATTGGAACCTAAGCCCGTTCAGCCATACATCTCAAGCATTCAGGTAAAATGCTTAAAAACAGCAAGTGACAGTACTTAACTATGCAGCATTAAGTGGTTTGGAAGGTTTTGGAAGGAAGCAGAAAGTATGACTATTATTTTTAGATTGCAACTTTATTAAATCATAGTCATTCTGTATAGGAAGGTCATATATGAGTATGTATGTGATACGTATTTTCTTTCTACCTACATTTTTAAATTTATGAGTACTCTGGGTAAATATAGAAAGAAAGGATGTATATTCCTATGTAGGAGACTTCTCAGCTTAAATTGTAGGAGACAGCATTTGTGTAACAGAAATGAAGTTTTTGAAGTAAATAAACAAAACATTCACAAGTTTCAATTTGTGTTACTTTCCTGAAATTATGTCATGTAATTGTCAACCTGAGTGATACAAGATAGGGTTTGACTGTGTTTGAAAATGAATCTGTATACTTTGAAAATCTAACCAGACTGTTATTTCAAAATACGTGTAGGACTTGGAAATACTTAAGTTTGCCCAATTTAATATCTTTGCCAAGAGGTAGCTTATAGTCAAGTCAAACATTCAGTTTTCTCACTTTCAAATTATGTCCATGTAGGGAAGGTGTTTGAGGGAGACAGTTTGTGTTGTCACAAATGGTTCTTTGCAGTTTCCAACACCTGTGGGAACTCTCTCCATAACATCCAGCCTGTATGCAACACAGTATGATCCTTGGAATTTTTACAGTGAAATTTACACAACAATTATTGCTTTATAGGATGTGTTAACAAAATCTCAATGAGCAAACCATCAAGTATCTTGGATGGTGGGGTTTGTGAAATAAAAAGAACTGTTTATTTGTAATATAATACATAATAGCCAGTGAGATGTCAATCTTTAACAAAGGGTCAAAACAAAACCTCTTACCTGGAATTGCAGCGAGACTCAGCTGGAAAACTGTTTACTCTCTGTGTTGTGAAATCTAAATTAAGTATGCTTTTTGGATTTAGGATGTTAATGTATAAAAGCTGAGGTGATAAAATAGTAAAACCTCATAGCCTTATAAATTTTAATAGTTATTAAGTATTGGATGACAGAAGTAAAGAATGAAGCTCACATTGTTGAGTAACATTTTCATTGCTGCATTTCACTTGGTTGATCTTGGTCTACCTAATTTTCAATTTAATACACTTAGTACACAATTGAAAACCTCTTTTAATTACTGCTTCATTCTCTATACATCAGTAACTGCCTTAAAACATATCTTTAATATTCACAAACTTATATTTTTCAGCATTGCATTACTTTCCAGAATATCAGTGGTTGGTGGATTTCACTGTTGCAGCTACAGTTGTGTATGTGGTGACAGAAGCCTATTACAGCATTATGAAGCCCTCACAAGAAATGAATATCAGCATAGTGTGGTGTCTGCTTGTCTTGGCTTTTGCAGTGTATCCTTTTCTGTTTTGTTGAATCCTCCTCTACCTGTTCCAAATAGTTTACATCATTCTGCAAATCATATAAATCTCTGTGCCACTGATGGGTGGGATACAAAAATATTTGGCATTTGGAAAAAGGGTCCTGTAAGCTAATGCCATTGTTGAATCATGTATATGCTGTACATGCTCTTTGCAAATGCTGATGTAATTAGCTTGCTAACATTAATACCAAACCATTTAGGAGAAAAATACATGTATGCAAATATAGTTAGTGCTCATCTGTAGTATGTAGTGGTTCTAAACTGACTTGATTTTGCTCAATTTGGTAATCAGAAATAGTTATGTGTACAGAAAGTACAACATTTGAAGAAGTTTGGAAATTTAGTGTGCTCTTTTTTTCAATATGTTTAATATGATGCTTCCTAATCAGACTAGCATAGTGATGTGTATACTAGTTTACTGAAAAAATTCATGTGTTTACTGAAAAAATACATGTGTGAATTCATTTTAAAATACATTCCAGGTATTCTGACAGAAAATAAGGTATGTAAACAGTTGTAGAAACTGAGCTCTGTGAAAAGCTAAACTTACCTCTGAAACTGAGGGAAACAGAAGTGTTTAGGAAATAGGCATTATCTAACCATAAAATGTTTGCTCTGTTATGGGGAAGGAAGTTAATTTTTTAAATTTTTTTACTGGAGAAGGCATTATCAGACACAGATGCTTGCATGGTAATTAACTATGTACCAGATACGAATCCAGACACACACTTTAGGGAAGAAAGTTGCAGTTTAAAGATATGATCGGCAATAAAGCAGTGGAATGTAATAAGGGCTTTCAGGAGAGCAGATTATAGAGAGGTGAACTGGAAAGAGAATTGCTGCAGCTCCTCTGCTCCTTCAGCAGCTGAGAACAGATCAAGTGCTAAGTTACAGCTGATAAAACTCTTGAATTCAAAATCGTTTCCTCTGTAAATGCTAGCTTTAGAGATTCTTCATATGTTGAAGTTTGTTCATTTGGTTTGTAATATCAGCAGTAGTTGGTGGTGTTATGTAAAACCTTGAACTCTAATGCTTGTTTACATTTGGCTAAGACTTCTGAATCTGCTTCATGCTTGCCTGTCCTTGATAATTATTAAAATGTGTGCTGCCTTTATAGTATGGACAGGAGTTCTTTTCTAAGTAGACTGAAGCATAAATCATATAATTTCTCCAGAATTTTTTCCTTGTAATGTATAAAAACTTGCTAGAAGAGAAAGTCAACTCACATTTGGAAAAAAAGAAGGTCAGTAGCATGCTTCCAGATCAGGTATTTCCCCTTAGACATGTCAGTGAACAGATCTATGGTCTAAAAGGTGATTTTTCTAGTCTACTGTGAGAAGAAAATCAGTGTCTGGCTCTTGGGCACCTTTTAATTGTGGCTCTTGGGCACCTTTTAATTGTATTATAGCTATACTATAGGTAATGTATAATTGTTACTGCACATCCTTTGTTTTATATTTTTGGTGTGAGGTTGAGAATTTTAGTTTAGTCTTTGCAGAAGGAAAGAGGTGGATACTGTTTCAAAAATCAGAAGTGATAGCCAACACTTTTCACTTCAATTTTTAAGGATGAGGGGGAGTTTAATAGAACTAATGGAAAAAAGCTTCCAATAAAAAAGCCATAATGTACTCTTAGATTTATTGATTACAATGCCTTGTTTGATTAATTTCGTGTATCTCAGGAGTAGTCAATTTAAACAACAGTATGGTAATTGCAATTCTAGGTAAAGCAGAGTTATGAATTATATGTTGTAGGAAAATCCACTGCAGTAACATTTTCTTACCGTGCTTTTGTACACTGTTCTATCATTGCTTTCATTTGTCATCAATTCAGATGACCAAATACTCAAAAATATTTAAGTTGCCTGTTAGTGCAAAATTTTTGTTTTAGTAGTGTGAACGTGCAAATAGCTGTTAGTCTGTGCTTAGTACCTGTATGAGGAGTTAGTGGCAATGTAGAAGGATGCAGTACCAGGAATCACGGTCTAAACCTTTTATTATTCTTAACATCTCCATAAATGTGATAGCATAACATATTCAAGGCATTACAGCTTTTGGGGTGAAGGAGATACAATACAGAGGGTATTGGTAACAATTCCTGTGGTCACTTGGAATCTAGTTAGATGAGATTTCAGAAGAGGTTCATTCCTGTGTTATGATATCAGGCTTTTGGGATGCAAAGAATACTTAAAACTCACTCAACTACTCACTAACTCAATATGTCAAGACCAGAAATGATTCTATGATAATGGAAGATTCAGAAAAATTTGGTTACCCTCATATTTTTGATGGAAAGCAGTCAACATGATATATCAAAGTCAAATACAGAGCAATTTTGTATTTTGTTGACAAGTGTTTTTTCTGTTTCATGCCAGTGTGTTAAGAGGTGAAAAGTTCAAAGCAAGTTTGCAGATGGTAGAAAACTGGGAGGAGCTGTTGACTCCCTTGAAGGCAGGATGGCCCTGAAGAGCAACCTCGACAAATTCAAACCCAAAGAGATATGGGCAAACACCAAGCGTTCTAACTTCAACAAGGGAGAATGCTGGATTCTGCACCTGGGATGGGGCAACCTGGTTGTATGGGCAGACCACAGAACAGGAGTCTAGAAAGTAGTGCCATGGAAAAGGACCTGGTGCTGCCAGTTGACAGAAAGTTGAGTGTGAGCCAGAAGTGCCCTGGCAGCCAGGAGGTCAAACTGGCCCAGCCTGGCCAGCCAGGCAAGGGAGGGTATTGTCCTGCACTAAGAAAGATATTCAGCTATTAGAGAGTGTCTAAATAAGCCACAAGGGTGATGAAGGAGGGGAAGCTGCATGGGGAGTGGCTGAGGTTACTTGGTCTGTTCAGGTTACTTAGCCTGAGAGAAGACTGAGGGGAGACCTCATGGCAGTCTACAACTCCCTTGTGGTGGAAAAGGAGGGGCAGACACTGATTCTCCTCTGTGGTGTCCAGTGACAGGACTCAAATAAATGGCCTGAAGTTAAATGAGCGGAAGTTTAGGTTGAATAGTAGGAAAAAGTTTTCACATGGAGGGTGGTTGATCACTGGAACAGGCTCCCTAGGGAAGTGCTTACAGCACCAAGCCTGACGGTTCAAGAAGCATTTGGACAGTGGTGTCAGGCATGTGGCATGATTCTTGGGGATGGTGCTGTGCAGGCCCAGGAGCTGGATGATCCTATGGGTCCCATCCAGCTCAGAATATTCTCTGCTTCTGTGAATTCACAGTTTTCATGTGTTTTAGTAGGAACAGAAGATCGATCTTTTTCACTTCAACATATGAACTATAAAATTCAAAAATTCCATAATTGCAGCAGTTTAAAAAATAAAATTATTTTTGTAAAAGGGTATACCATAAATTCTACAATGCCTGCAACTATATACAATATGCAAAGTATACAATTCTATAATGCTTCTTGTGGCCAAAAAAAACTGAATGAAAGGGGGAACTGGTGTGGCATTTTATTAACTCAGCACTAAATACTCCCAAATTATTCTTTAAGTAGATATTGAATATTAGGTCTTGTTGTGGAAGGAAATGATGAAGCAAGCCATAATTCTTCAATCTTCTCCAGCCCAAAAATAGAAGCAGTGGTAATTTAACTAACAGAGGGTTTCAGTTATGTATAGTTTGCGTAATCATGGATCTATTCTGAATAGTTCTGAATCTGCACCATAATTGTAATTTATTGTTAGTGTGCTTTCTTTTTCCTCCTTGAATTTTCCAAATCCTTCAGGCACAATCCATACTTGAAGTCATGAAGTATCTAGGGGGTCGTAAATCTGATGATATATTATGTTAGGTTTGTTGATCACAAACTTATTAAGTCCTTTGTATAACTTCAGGGTGTTTTCAATTTGTGATTCATGTCCCTAGCTGTAAAAAGAGCCTTGGTTTAAGCATATATTATTAGAGAAACAAAGTCCAGAACCACAGTCTGTATGATCTATTATATACTTCTTTTTGGGATGACTTAAGTCTTCCTTTTGATGTATCAGTTCTTTCTGTAAAGTATAGAAGGGTCTGAAGGTGATTACATATGAGATTAGAATTACTAGATGCTGTCCTTAGACTACATTGTGCATATTAGAATCTCTCTGCATATACATAAAATTCAGCAGTGTGTATGTTAAATGTGTGCTGCCTCAAGAAATGTGTATGTTAAATGTGTGCTCTCTCAAGAAACTATGATTATGTAGAAGCATAATCATAGTTTCTTGAGAGATTGATGACTGTTCAAATGTATTAATGAATACATACCCACCAAAAATGTTTTCATGTACTCTACATATTAATATTTTTTCAGATTAGAAATAGGCAAATACAACTGCATTATTGCATAGTGGAGGAAAAAAGTTGTACAGATTACTCTTAAAATCTTTTTTTTTCCTCTTTGTCTGTATTTTTTTCAAATCATGTAATGCCTGGAATTATCTCCAAATATTTTATTTAAATCTGGACTGGATATTGCATACCATTTAAATTATAATGAGCTACAGTTCATAGTAATAAGAGTTGACATTGTATCATGAAAAGTTTATCCTAATCTGTTATACTTTAGAACTGATTTAGAAATGTGTAAAAAAAGAATACTTTAAAAGTATTTTTAAAACACCCTGATAACAGAGCAGGTAATTTCTTACATGTTTGTCTTTGTGACAGTGGGGCTAGATAAAAAGATTTGATACGTCGTATGAGATCATAGAGGGGTTTTAAGACTGACTTTGTTTTTCCAAGGTGAACATGGGATAGATTTTTCTTTCCTAGAGAGGACTCCGTGTGCTGTTATCTTAACTCTCTTTGAGCTAAAAGTCTCAAATGTGTGCATAGTTGAAGTGCTTAAGGAAATGGCTTAGTGGTGAACTTGTTGGTGTTAGGTTGATGGTTGGACTTGATATTAAAAGTATTTTCCAAACAAAATGGTTCTATCTGAAAGGAGAGAAATGTAAGTTCATTTTTTCATGTGTCTTCTTTCTTACTATATGTAAGCCTAGATAAAAACTCTACTCCAGAGTATTCCTGGCTAGGCATTATGTGATTATTATGCTTTATTGTGTTCTGTAATTTAACCTGAAATTGGCTGAACACATACTACCTTCAAAAGAAAAAAATGCACATCATAGAACAACCCTATACACGACCGAAATACAAGATTGTAATTCTTAGTTGTAGTTATTTTACAAACTTAATTTTCCTTGACTTTATTACATAGTAAGGTACTGTTTTCATTGACTACCCACTATTTCAAAGTTGAGGATGGAGGTGAAAGATCAGTCTGTGTCACCTTTGGTTTTTTCTTTTTTGTGAAAGCCATGGCAATACTTATTGTGACAGAAAACTATCTGGAGTTTGGATTGGAATCAGGTAACTCCTTTCTTTAGTGTTTGAAACAGCTGTAGTGATTGTATGATCTGAAAAAAAAATATTTTCACAGTTTTTGAGAAAATCTGTGTTAAAATGAATGGTGTAAGTTACATGCTTATAAGAAAATTTGCTTTGAAATTAAGATTCTAAATAATATCCTGTACATTTTCCTGCTGTTCTCTTAAATAGTCTAATTTTTGCCTAGCTTGTTTGTGTTATTAATTGTATTTGCCTTCCAGTTACAGATTTAGCCATTTTTGACTTTCATAGTAAAGTGTAGCTCCTCTACTGGAAAAGAATTTTAAGTTATCTTTTTTCATCTTCCCGAAGTGTGCAAATGTTACAGATGTTGTTAATCAAGTTCTATTGTATTGTGGCCAACTAATTATCATATGAAAGAGCTCTGTTAGACATACGAAAAATTGTTCAATAGATGACTTGATACCCACTGTTTTATTTCACAAAAGGGATTCTTCATTTTTACTGTAATAAAATAAATATATGTGTCCCTGCAGGATTCTCGAATTTCTCAGAAAGTGCTATGCAGTTTCTTGAAAAACAAGGTTTGGAATCCCAGTAAGTTTCTGGAAATACACTTGTCTTTTTATATGTGATTTGGATTTTCTTAGCTTTTGTCATGGATGTTTTGTGTTTGTGTACGGTTACAATCCCTGCAACGGTTTAAAGACGTTAATGAAAAGATCTGAAAGTACCCACAAGTAACTGAAGTTGCATTAAAGTTTTCATTTTAATATGGAGATAATTTCTGATATTTTGATTGTAGTTATAAAATATAGTTCAAAATTGTAAACACTTTTTTCACAGTATTTCCCTTTAGCAAGGATTGTTTAAATAGAGAAGTTATTTTTGTCATTCCTATGGCATGTAAGAGGAGGAGCATGCAAAATCTACAAGATGGAGTTTGTGTTAAATTTCATATTAGGAATAAGTTGTGTTGTTCAGTCCTGTTTTCAGGTTGTAGCTCTGTTTCTATCATGCAAAAACTTCTGCTTTCTACAGGACATTCAAGCCTCATATAGACTGTTGAAGGAGTGTGCCATAGCTTGTGATATTACGTAAATACACAAACACTGTCATAGGCAGCCTTTGTATATTGCAAAATTGATTTCTGTTACAGTTCCTTATACATGCATGCTAAAATTTAGGGACCATTTCATCACTAGGAGCACAACATTGAATTTCTTGCTTGGTAGGTCTCAAGTATCATGCAGAAGCCCTGGCATATCTTTATTCTTGAGGAGCAGAAGTTTCCTCAAACTAGATTAGTGTAATTTATGAATAAACTTACAGGAAACGGTTAACTGAATCCCATGTGTTTCTTAGCCTTTCTTTAATCTGCTTTCCTAAGCTATTGCAAAGTCACTACCTTCTGTATACATTTTCATGTTAAGTGTTTGTTCAGTTATAAAGTATTGCAGTGCTTTGCCTTTTTTAGCAGCACCTGAGGTAATGATGGTGTCTCTTGATAGTTTAGAAAGAATCTGAAGCTCATTTAAATCACTAGATTTGGTTTTGTTCCTCGTTGATCTGTTAGTTACATTTCACTATAACTATGATGTTTTTGGTATTTGAGGGTTTTGTTTTGTTCTCTTTTTTTCTTTGTGTAAAACTGTATTTGTTAATTATATAATTAATTCTGTGATTTCTGTTGTATAATTTTTGCTAATTACAATATAAAATTATTCTTTTTTTTTTACTTCTTTACTAACAAATTAACATCTCACAGTCAGTAAATTCGTTTTTTTTTTGTTTTTCTAGGAAATAAGTAGATTACTTGGTTTGGTTTTGAAAGTATTTTTTTAAATTTTAATTTCTGATTGGTTTTTAATAATACTAGTACTTTGGGGGAAGCCTACAGAATACTGTTGGCTTTTTTATTAAATGTTAGATACTTTTGGGTTGAAAGTATATTGATACTCCCCGCTTCCCCAACTTCTTCCCCAAGAAAATGCTTACTTCCTTTCTTTTCTTTTAGGGGTCCTGTGTCTAAACTAACCTTCAAATTGTTCCTGGCTGTTCTGTGTTCACTTATTGGTGCTTTTTTGACATTCCCTGGCTTGCGACTGGCTCAAATGCATCTGGATGCTCTGAATTTAGCAACAGAAAAAATAACACAGTAAGAGAAAATATATGCAAATAGGTATATGCTACTCAGTCTTAAATCTTTTATGTCTAAAAATAAACTAAGCAAATTATTCCAACAAGAAGGTAGTGACTTAAGACTTCTGTTGCTGCCTGCTTTTCGTATCTTGAGCAGATTTGCCACCTGCCACTTCCTGCTCAGCCTGTGCTCTGCCAGTCTGTTACATCCTTTGCCTTGTAATTAAGAGTCCCATTTAAAGGAGCTTTCCTTTCCTCCTGCAAGAGCTCCACCATGAATGTCTCTGTGTCCAGCTTTCCTTCCCCCATCATGTCTTTCTAGAAGTTAAGATAACCTTCAGGAAGTACAAATATGACCACAGACTGGTTTTTGTCACCTGTACTTACAGCTGGGCATTATTCCTTTAATAAATTTAGCATAGGATAAAATATAGAAATGACCCATAATATTTAATTAGGGTCATATGTTAATACCAATTTAAAGGAGTATTTTCATTTTCAGCCATCTTTCCATTTGGTAGTAAAATGTTCTGCCCAATTTAACTATTTCTCTTGAGCATTTTCTGATTGAGAGGGTGACTCTCGAAGTGGCTTTCAGAGATCTTGACTGTTGACGTTTAATACATGATAATGACAGCTTCTGCAGCATAGGGCAGTGTAGGTATTGAGTCTGGTAAATTTCCTAAGAAAACAACTATGTTTTGCAGTAGGAAAATAATTTTTGGTTCAAACTTCACTTTTTTTCTTTCCCTTCAGGAATGTTCAGCTTACAAATTAATCTGTTTGAAGTGAGTCCATCAGTCTTGGTAAATTTATAAGCAAGTACACTTGCACTCAATGTTGTCTATGTAGCAGCCAGCTACTGGATTGTTTTATCTGATGTTACATTTCTGTCTGCCTGTAGACTGTGACTGAGTCACTTCCTAATCTGTTTTTTCCAGACAGGGAAACTATTTAGTTCTTAATTGCTATGGTTCTCAATATTTTAAAATTCTTTGTGTTTTTTCTGTAAGTATTCCAGCATCTTCCTTGATCAACAGACATAACATCCTAGGCAGAAATATAAACTCCCAGAAACAAAAATTCATTAATTAAGAGCTAGAGGGAAATTAATATCCACTGAAGTGTGGTTATGAAATGTAAGACTTTTCTAGACGATATTTGAACTGGTTGTTGAAGATAACGTTATTCAACACCACCAAGTTATTTTTGAAAGTCTATCAATACTTTGACTGTTCAACTGGAAAAATTACATTAAATGGATTAAAACTTGGTAAGGTATCCATATAATTAGGTAAAGCCATTATAAAGAATATTTGTCAAGTGATAAGTTCTAATAAACCTGAAGACTGTAACTTGCCCTTGCTGATACACTTGTTTGACAGTTACTAAAGGTGGGGGGTTGGAAATGAGGATGACTTGTCACTGATGCTGTCTAAGTTGGGTGCTAAAACAATGTCTACCTCTACAGTCAAAGACATACTTTACTTTAAAAACCCCAACCAAAACAACTGCAAAGAAAAAGCTCACCAACTAAACAAAATACAAAACCAACAAAAACCAAAGAAAAAACCGTAATCAAACCAAAAGTGCCCACATCTCTTAAGCTGCCCCAAAAAGGCACAAATCTCCCTTAAAACCCAAGAAAATACCCAGAACTAAACAACTCGAAAATATCCAAAACAAAATGTATTCCTTAATGGAATGGAACACTTAACTTGCAGGGAACACTGACCAAAAAAAGCCCCAAAACTTAAAGGTTAATGATCAAGTACCACTTTACTAATATGTTTAGAATTATTATTGTGATTCTTTTTATGAGTGTAGGGAGTAAGTTCATTGGTTTTGAGTAAACAGAATAAAAATAATCTGGTGTCCCTTTCAGTTTTGAGAACTGGTTTGATTTTTTTTCTTTGGCAGTAGTATCCTTCCCTGCATGTATTTGGAGTCTTCTTAACAAAGTTGTACAATTTTCATACACATTTCCTCCTTTGCCAGAGTCTGTATCCAGAGTATTTCAGCCTTTCATGCCTGTTCCATTTAAAAAAAAACCCAAATCCGAAACAAAAACAACGAAAAGGATAGAGCTTCCCACCACCCTTTGGCACATTCCAGTCCATCACTCTAGTCCGTTAACTCAGTAGGATCGCCTAAATAAGTAGAAGTTCAGGTAAAAGGCTTTCACAGTCTAATTAAATGCTTTGGTCTGATCCTTGGTGCTGTTGCATTCCCTAGCACCATTTAATAGTTAGCAGGGCTTGTTTCTTCATCTGAAACCAAAGATTTAAATTTGCGTGTGATGACAGCTTCTGTAACGTGCAAACATTTTAGTGGTTTTAGGAAGCTTGATAGTTTGCAATCAAGAAGGTCTTGTGTTCTTTAGAACAATTTTTAGTTACATCATTTTTTCTGTAGTGTAGAGGCACTGCAGTGAAGGTGAAGACAAACCTGATTCTGTTAGTGAGGGATTACTGTACTGACAAAACAACCCAGTCCCTTCAACTGTTCTCATTTCATTTTAGTAATGAAAAATTATTGGGGAAAATGGGCTTAGAAATAGAGAAGAAAATTTAGAACTTTAGAAATAAAGAAGGATATTAATTCAAGAGAGGACTGCAAAAACTGTATCCCCTTTTTAAATTCTGTTTTGTACTCAAAGGTTACTAAAGAATACTACTTTCATTTTTGTTGTGCAGTTTCATACAGTATTTTTTTGGATCTGAGTATCTTTAATTTAAGTACCAAGTTGAATCAGGATTTCTAAGTAAAATGCTTCATTACACTGTGTAATCTGACCTCTGACAACTATTTCTCCTGTTCTTTTTAAAGCCAAAATCCAGTATGATTTCACAATATATAATGTTACCATTTTGTTGAAATGTAAGCCATACCTATAAAATAGGGAAGAAATTTTATTATTTATCTTTCTCCCAACTATTTTAAAGTTAATATTTCTGCTTTTGAATCTTTCTTGCATGCTTTATATATTCTTATATACTATCAACAGTATGGTCATTGTTTTCATTTGCTAAGTTCCCTGTTTTTTTTCTTTTTTCAGAACATTGCTACATATAAACTTCTTGGCACCTTTATTTATGGTTCTACTGTGGGTAAAACCAATCACTAAGGACTACATTATGAGCCCACCTTTGGGCAAAGAGAGCATTCCTTTGTAAGATTTCCTTTAAAAGTTCTTTTGGGGGTATTGAGAACAAAACATTGTCTTAGAGCTCTTTGCAAGTTGGAGAAACATGAAAGACTTTAATAGCATCTGCTGTCAGAGGTATTGTGGTAGGTGCAGCTGAATTATAAGGAGCTTCTGTTATTTCAAAAGAATGAGTTGCAGAATGATGAGTGTTAAGGTGGTGGTTCCCAAAAAACTGCTGTTACTTGACATTTCCTTGGCAGTAGTGTGTTGTTTTTTGTAGGGATGGAATACTACCTCACTACCTGCTGGAACCTTGTGTCTTGCATATTAGTGTAGGAGAGAAGTGGTTTCAGTGAAAACAGTCAAGATATGTTGTCATGAGAACTAAGCTAGGAGGTTTGTCTTTATATTTACATACTGATGAACTGGTATTGAATTGATAGATAAAATATTTAAAACATAAAAAGGGAAAGAGTTTCCAGGAAGAGTGGTATCTGAAATAGTTGATTGTCGTTGTCACAATTATTCTTGCTAATTCAAAATAGACTTGAAAGAGATACATTTCTTGCTTTTTAGAGGTGAGATAAGCTTCTAAAGTGATCCTGTGACCATTGAGCTATTACATAAAACACAACAGATATACATATTTTATGTATTTTCTGTTCCTCAGTTCGTTTTAAAATGTGTTGAGCTATTACTGGGTATCTCAGGCAGATGAAGTACCCATTTACAATCTAGTAAATGGGTACTATTTACTATTTTTACTACTTCTACTATTTTTTACTACTTTTACTGTTTTTACTACTTTACTATTTACTGTCCACTCCTATGTGTCTGAAAACCTGTAATTATCTGAGCAATCTTCATTTTTAGTGTCCTGCCTTCATTACTCAGAATTTAGGCAGTTAAGAACTGCTTTTGTTTACAGACAAATGAATACTAATTTGGATCTATGCTGTAGGGCTACTGAGAAGTAGTAGGAAAGAGAAATAGAACGCAAAAGTAAATATTACTTGCATGTGAACTTCATAACTGTAGTTTGTGTGTTAACTGCTTTTGACAATTTGCCTCAAGATTACTTTACAGATGGTACAAATAAATAACTGTAGCAGTAGGTGGTTTTTGGAAAACAGCATTACCCTTTTTTTATTATCCACAGAATGTCAGAAGATACATTTGATACCGTCAGATTGTGGATTATAATCCTATTGTGTGTTTTACGGTTGGCTATGATGCGTCATCATTTACAGGCCTATCTGAATTTAGCCCAGAAAAGTGTGGATCAGATGAAAAAGGAAGCTGGTAGAATAAGTATGGTTGATTTACAGAAAATGGTAAGTATGGTGGCACTGAAATTATATATTTGTACTATTTCGACTGTGCAAATGATTTTTTTCCAATTTGTTGTCTTCTGTGGCAGCAGAGCTCAAATCTGAATGAAGCTTTCTAGACTATATCTCCTATAAAATAGAATTATTACAGAGAAGTTCTGCAAACCAAAATATGGAGATATGTATCATCTGTGTTACGCAGATAGTTTGTCCTTGGTTGTTATAAAGATCCTTGGTTGTTAAAAAGAAGTTGTTATAAAAGTTGTTTGTCCTTGGTTGTTATAAAAGATCCCTTCCAATGAGTGGTGATCTGTAACTACAGCATGGGAAAGAAAAAATTGAATTTTTGTAGAATGGTAACATACCGTTACCAACTATGATTTTTAAATTGAGGGAAAATTTATGACGAGGTGGTTATATTTTGGAATTAAATTACATATGTTTAATTCTGTCAGACCACTTAGAAGTTCACCAGCCTAATTAAAAATTGCCTATCACATTGTGGACAAGGCGAAATTTTTGAGGATTTTTTTTTTAAAGAAAAGTAGTAAAGCATACCTTGAACAGATGGGTGGGGTAGAATGGCTGTTGTATATTGTCTGCAAAATAAACTCAAATTTGTACTGCTGTATGATAGTGCTGTCTAATGATCCTGCTGAGCTGGGGTCTATTGCAGGAGGAATATTTGAAGCATGCTGTAAGACAGAGACTCCTCTTCTAGGATTGTCATTATTACACTAAGTGTCTGAATGTCATAGTCTGAAGGTGCCGTAGTTATTTACAAAGTGGCTAGAAATTTGCTCCAGAAAAAATAATTAGGAAGTACATGTAGTAGCAGCTGGTTAGGATGGAACTGTGCCGGTTGCTGTGCCATTTTAATACTGGGAATTTTATTCCTATCTGTAAAACACTTATGTCTTCTCCATGTGGCATTTCTTATATCCATGTCTCCAGTGAAATGGAATGTATGAATCTTCATACATTCTCTTTGAGAAGGCCATAGTCATTAGATGTAGTCTTGTCTTGTTTTACTGATCATATCTGCTTTACCTTTTTTAGGAACGTCTGCAAGTGAATTCTTTCCTGTCTGTCATTCTACAGTGATCATTACTTTTTAATTGGTTATTTTTGTTGTATTACATCATTTTTTTGACAAATTTTGTCTCGCGCTTTTTCCCGTGTTAGTTTTTTTATGCATGCTCATTAAGAAGCCCTTTGAGACTTGAAAGGTGTTCCCAAAACTGTCATGTCTGTCTTCATAATTTTTGCCAACCTGCATTCTGTTCTTTTATAAAACATGGGTAGTTCTATTTCACTGCTTGCTTGCTGTTGATTTTATTACTTTTTTCCATCTTTATTTGGTTTAATCTTTTAGGTCAATAGCTTGTATGTAATGTTACAGTCTTGAGAAAAATGGAACCTGTGGGAGAGCAGGGGGAGGGATATATCTGAATGGACTTCGATGAACCATAGTGTATGACTGAAATAAAGACCAATTAAATGCTGTTATTGATCTAATGAAAACTCAGCTTATCATTGTTTTAAAATACAAGTGTTTTCCAGTTGGAAATCTTAAAAATATCTCACTGTTGAAAAAGGACACTAATATTAACCAGGCTTTCATGTACTTTTTATGGGGCTTTGTACTGCGACTACTACTTCATTTTTGAAATAGGATTTAGTTTGTAAATGACTTGGAACTTGAAAAATTAAACATATATATTTATTTTTGTTTCTGGTGTATTAAAGTAGGAATAATTGAATGATGGCATACAGTTTGCAGAAGCAAAATTGATTCTCTTTTTTTAACAGAATTGATGTTTTTTAATTATTTTATTTCAGCCATTCTTCTCAGATTTGTAAATGTCCTGAAACTAGAATTCATTATGGGGATTTCTTCATTAGGTCTTCCAAGGGCAATATGTCACATGCCAAGAATTACTAGAAAATTCTTAAAACAACTTTAATGCATAAGTACTGGATTTTTTTAATTAATTTTTTTTTTTTCTAGACATTTTCATAAAGGTCTGCTTTGATCAACCAGGGATCATGAACTTATACTCTTTCTTTTTTCTAGGTGGCTCGGGTATTCTATTATCTCTGTGTAATTGCACTGCAGTATGTTGCACCATTGGTAATGCTGCTTCACACAACTCTGCTCTTGAAAACACTAGGTAGGCAAAATTGGACCAATGGTAGTTTATTCTGTTCTACACAGGGCTTTTTTATTTTTGCCTGACTGAAGAGAATTAGAATTCATGGGTATTTGCAATACAAAAATACCTAGTAGTTTCTTGTACTTTAAAACATTCATATGTGGCTTTTATGTAGTTATTTCTGTTGCTGTGTTTGACATCTTCCAATTGCATGCTAATTTGTTTTATTTATTTCTGAGAAATTAGGTCATGCAACCAATTAAACTGTTTACTTCTGTTGAAATATTTGTCTTTTTAGAAGTATTTTAAAAGTGAATTATATAAAGTATGATTGATTTAACTTCATGAGCATCTTACAAAGGAATTTTTCAGCTTTTTTATCATTAGTAGGAAATTGTGAGATTGGGGGTTCGTGTAGTTACTGGGAGATCTGAAGTAGCTCTGGTTTGGGTTTCCTCTGCCTCTTTACTCTGCCTCTTTACTCTGCCTCTTTTCTCTGCCTCTTTACTCTGCCTCTTTACTCTGCCTCTTTACTCTGCCTATTTTCCTTTTCTTCTCCTTCTCCATTTCCTTCTTTCTTTTCTGTCCTTCCTGTGAGACATGTCTTTCATAGCCTGCCATGCAGTTGTGTCATTTTCTTTGCAAAAAGGCAGTTGTTAGAGATAGGCTTTAGTAGGTTGTGATTCATCCTGCCTTGGAGTAGTGATGTCCATCTGGTAAGGTCAGTCATACCCAGGACATACAGAGGTTTCATGGTAGCTATATCACATGTAGATGTTAGGATGTAAAAATACAAGACGAATCCTACCCCAGGATGAAGTAGGATTGATTCATTCTACTTCCTGGAATGACCAGGATGTCATGCAGATGAATATAGTTTGCATTTACTAAGTTATAAAAACTTAACATTTTTTGTGTGTGTATTAAAAATATATCAAAGACTGTAGAGTGATTGAATTAACAGAACTTGAATTTAATTCTACAAAAATCTGTTACTTGTTTATTTTTAACAGGTAATTATTCTTGGGGCATCTACCCAGGATTGAATTCTGACTCTTCAGTAGAAAACAGCCTGCTTCCCAATTCTGTTTATTCTGAGTCTCCACCTGCTGATGGAAAGATGAAAGTAGCTGTAGTACAAATAACAATGGCTCTGGGAAGCCTAAAGAGTATTTTCACTCCTCTCCTGTTCCGGGGACTCCTGTCTTTCCTCATTTGGTGGATTGCTGCTTGCCTTTTTTCTACAAGCCTTTTTGGTCTCTTCTATCACCAGTACCTGACTGTGGCATGAGCAAGCCAACTGACAGAGCAAGTGTGAGGTCAGATTCTAGATACAAACCCAGGTACCCAAGAGGAGATGAAGAGAAAAGAAAACTATATATGTGAAGAGAAAACATGTAATAATTATTTTTAAAGACTTCCTTGGTGTTCTCAGGGTGAATAATCTTAAAATGTTTAAAATTGCAACTGGGCTTGTTATTTTAGTTACCCAAATGGTAGGTAACTAATTCAGTTATACTCCTGGGACTGACTGACATTATTGTGTTGTAGATGGTGGTAAGGATGCTGAAAAGATGTGACCTCTGAGTACCTTGGTTTCCACAAACAGCAAGCCAAACTCAAAAATTTGTTTTTTAAGCATCAACAGTCACTAGCTGAACTGCATTCTAAGGGTACTGGACATAGTGATGGTGGCTATTGATTAAGCTGCCTATTGATTAAGTCTTGAAACTGAGCCATACAAGTGAAAGGAGAGAGAGGGGATTTAAAAAAAATTCTGTTGGACAGCTATTGATCACTTTTCTCCTTGGAAAATTAAAAAATCCAACAGGACAAAAGAGATACTGTATATTACAGTAAGAAAAGTTGTATAAAATTTAAATTTAACAGGAGCAGATGTGTGTACGTGACAGGTATTGCTGCCTACATATTTTGCAGGAGTGCTTGTGCAGTAAGAAGAGAGTTATAGCAAATATATTATTTCAGTCCCTGCAGTAATTTTGAAGTAATGGCCATCTGTATTGGTGCTAGTATTGATCCACACATTGCGTCTGGATCTTTTAAATTTCTTCTTTTGAGGTCGTAGATAAATTCCACTGAATTTACAAAAGAATAGAAAATAATTAGTGACACCAGTCAAACATTTCAAAACAAAATAGTTTAATCCTGCTGACTGATATTGTATGTATATGTGTAATGTACATATATATTATATATCAAATATATAATATATATGAAGGTATGAAATATGGAATCTTTATTTTAAATTCCTGAATGTATCTTACAGTGCTGTGGGAGAGGGGTGTATGTGTATCTAATAATTTCAAGATTGCCTTTTGAAATTAAACTTAATTTTTTCCTTTTTTTTTCTTCTTTTTCTTTTTTTTTTTTAGTTTAGTTGAAAGGGCTATTTGGTTTTTGTGCCTCTTTAGAGGTACTTAGCTATACTAAAGAACTTACACTGTCTTGGAAGTAAAGATCTGCTTAAACTGTTAATCTTAAAATTTCTGTTCTGTCAAATCATCATCTTTGCCACTTTAATCTGTGCTAACTTGACCACATAGTGATAATTACTATATCTTGGCTACATAGATTTTCTGTGTAATAAAACAGCTGTGTAATAAGAAAAAGATCAAAGTATTAACTTTACAATTTTTGCTTAACTGTATAGATAGATTCCACTCATAAAATTATTTACAGTTTTTCAGGTGTTTTGTGTATTTGCAAAACAGGAATGGGGATTTATATGCAGTAGCTTTTTTAAACAGTTATTACTAAACTTCACAGAGGTCAGTGGGTTTTTTAGCTAATACTAGCTGGTTTTATGTTACTGTTCTTTTTCTCTTGAATTTGTGTACAGCTTTGGCGTAAGCATTTATAAATGGAAAAGCTTAACTAAATTTTTAATACGTAGCAAACCTACCATATGGGAGAACAAACTCAATGAATGCAGAAAATCAAGATTTTAAGCTGGTGATAAACTACCTTGCTGTGTTGAAAGCCTTTTAAGTTAATTATTAGTTTATTAAGTTGCATTTATTGGGAAAAGATTTGTGTACACCAGCCTAGTACCTACTGCATGTGTTTGGGATGTGTGAGAACACCTTGCGTGATGCTGCTAGTTTCATTGCACTATTTCAAGCAAGCTTTGTTGTTTTCACACCAACTTTTTGTAACTAACAGGGACAATAGCTTAACTGTGCATTGGCTTAGAGAATAATATTTGACCTCATAGTTTCAAATTTCAGGCATTCCTTGGAAATATTTTTCAGATGAATAATTGAATGACAAAATATGACAGTCCAACAATACTGCACCCACTTTCATATTAGTTCAAGATATATCGTTACTACAAGATACATCATTGCTAACAGAATTAGTAAGGCCAGCTTTTAAGTTAGAGTTAGGGTGTTCAATGCCAGTCTTTGGTCTGAAAAATAAAACAATGCAAAACAGTTTGCCTCTGATAGTGAACTTACCTGATGAAGCTCACTATATAGGAGATGTAACCTGTTGTTGAAATCTGAAGGATTAAATTTTGGATACTTCAGAATACTTCAAAATGATGTTAAGCAACAGTTTTTGCTGAATTAGTCATTCTGAAAGCTTATAAGTAAAAGTGAACTGTAGTTATATAATAATGCATTCAGCAAAAGTAATAAGGATCATGTAGCTGAACTTCACAAAGCTTTTGCTTAAGTCATGCTGACTTACTGTTCAGACATCACACTGATCGCAGTGAAAAATATGCACCTAGTGTTACAAACATGAAGTTCAGTGCTTGTAGCCACTGTGCTGTTCAATTGTTCTACAGTCCATTGTTCTGCAGAATTGAATGGTTAACCTTCTGGTCAGCAGTGAGTGGGAGATGGTCTTTCTGTTGATCCATTTAATCCTGACATGATTAAATGAAGGCTTATGAAAAATTTAAATATGGTAATAAAAGCCTTTGAAACATGGTGACAGTGAAACCAGAGGGACCATATTGCTAAGGTTGTGAGCAGTGCTTCTGACAAGTATGTGATACGATCAAAAATGTGTTTTAAAGTAAAGTAGCAACCTGATAGTCCTGACTTCCATATATATTGTGTAAGGTTCAGAGGAATATCTGCTTACTTCTGTAGTAAGTTCCTGCAGCTGGCAAATTATTCGTATGTTTCATGGAGATCTTTATCAGCACCTGGTGATGGGGGGAAAACATCTTTCAGAAATGGAAAAGCAATAAAATGTGACTGAAAGGTTGGTAAGTGTTACTCAGGTTTCTTAAACATTTTGTCTTGCTTTTTGCCCACTACTTAATAAAAAATTGGTGAATGGTTTGGGTTGGAATTGATCTGGAATGGATCACTTTTCACCAGACCAGGTTGCTCCAAGCCCCATCAAACATGGCTTTGAACACCTCCAGAGATGGGCAGCCATAGCTTCTCTGGGTAACCTTATCTAGTGCCTCACCACCTTCACAGGCAAGAGTCTCCATCTAACACTTAATCTAAATCTCCCCTCTTCTAGTTTAGAAGTGTTCCCCCTTGTCCCATCACTCCCTGCCTGTGCAAAAAATAATTCTCCCTCTTTTTTATAAGCTCCCTTTAAGTACTTGGAAGCCACAGTGAGATCGCCCTTAGTTTCTGAGAGATTTTAGAAGGAAATGTTCCTTTGGCAAAGAATCCATGTCTGTTTCTTTCTTCTTAAATTCAGATCTCCCTTCCTTTCTTAGTGATGTGACTTCCATTGCCGATCTACAGTGCTGTCCATATGTTCCCTTCTCAGAAGCAAGTAGGCTAAATTTGTTCAAGATTGTATTTTGACTTGTGTTTAGTTTAAATTTGTCTATTTTTTTGAAGGATTAGTTCCTTTAAATAGTTTAAATAACTTAAAATTCCATCTGAAACATGAACAAACTTGTTAACATTTGTTTAAACTCTTCACTTTTATTTTGTGGGTCCCTTTCAACAAAGGATTAAGGCAGTGAAAAATCCAAGTCTTCCAGCAAGTTGGGGGAGGTCCAGACATACACTTGGCTATTTCTGAGCTAAGAGAAGTTGATTAAGAACAGGAGAATAAATTATAGAAAGCCTGTTCACTTGGTAGGTGACATTTTCAGGCTGCTCTTGTCCTCTTTTAATTCCTTCTCAAGCTATAGGTTATACCAGTTTTTGAGGTTTTGTTAGCTGCGCAGTCTTTCCCACTTCCAGAATTCTCTTGCATAAAGGATCCACAGATTAAATAGTAGCATGAGTACAAGAGAATATCCTTGTACAGAGGATACTTAGAGAAAGTTAATTTCTGTTGCAGTTCTCCTCATTTGGATCACAAGTACTGCAGGGTGTTTAAACAGAGATATGTTCTTCCCTGGATGTAAAGTCAAATTTGTCTTAAGAATAAAAATGCTACCAAGACATCAACTCAACATTTAGGCAGCATAACCTCACTCTATATAGTGGTTAGCAAGTATGGAAATTTCAGCTAACTTCCAAGGAACAATTCAAAGTGCTGTGCTTCATTACAGTAACTACATCTAAGTGATAATAGGCATTTTGGATATATCAAATAGGAAATTGAACACATCTGATCTTAAAGCTGTTGGAAGATTCTCCAAGATAAAAGGCCTTATGTCTCTTTATTCTCAAATACCAGCTGTACTTTCCACAGAGATAATTTTTATCAGTTCTTAAATACTACGCTTCATTATTTTTCTCATGACACATTTTGCACATTAATTTGTTCAACACAGCCCCTCCACACCTTAACCCCACACACATAATCCCACAGTTAATTTTGTCACTGTCAAGTTCCTAGATACTTTTAGTTAAAGAATTGAGTGCCCAGACAGAATGGAGACATTGAACAAGTATGAGGCCAAAGAAAACTGTGTGTTCTCTTGTGTACGCCTGAGCAAAATCTTAATGGAGGAAGGCAACAGCAGGTTACTTGTATCTTAAATCAAATATTAAATGTGAATTGTGAGTAAGACTGTTATTTTTAACATCTGCAGCCCAAATCCCAAATGGTAAATAGAGCAATATTTTGATGTCACAGATACCTACTCTAAAGAGCATCGAGGCAACAGATGCTTAGAAGCTAGATGTCTGATCTCACTAAGCAGGCTGATTCAGATTGGTCTGTCTATGCTTCAGAGTGATTTTTGTGTCTCCTTCTTTAGGAAGGCCTGCCACGCTTTATGACCTGTGCGCAGCACATACAGTCGTGTGCTATATGATGAAGTAGATGGCGTGTCTGTAGTACTCTCTGAGTACTAGACTGAAAGGTCTTCCTGCTCTAGGTGAGATCATGAAGCCAGCATGTCATTTCCAGGCTGCTTTTACTGACATCTGTATATGCTGCACTTAACTTTTTCCAGTCTCTCTCACTGTGGATTGCCAGTGCACTGCATGTTGTTTTGCATGCCAGTGTATATGTATTTTTATACCCTTGATTTCAATAGTGTTTTTAATGGAAATTATTTTTAATCCTAATACCATGGATCATATTTTCATTTTTTTAAAATTAATATTAGTGCCTGCAACTAGAAGTCAAAAACTTTTATTTTTTTTTTTTAGCTTGATGTTTAAGCTGAAGTATTAACAGGTATGCATTTTTATAGCAAAGTCCAAAATGCACCTGTAAATACCAGATTTTTCCATGTGATTACACATCAGTCAAGACCCTTAGAATTTGTACTTGCAGCATTTTTTCTCAACAACATACTATCCATATGATCCTGCTATGTATAAAATACACGTCTCAAAAGAACTTTGAATAGCTTTTTACAAACTCCTTAGTAGTAAGTCATTATTCTTTTCTTGTACTGCAATGTATTTTTTAAAACCTGGCTTAAAATTCCTGTGCTTGAAGTCAGACTTATTCTCTATTCCTCTGTTCATAGTAACTCTGCCTCCTGTATGTGTTCTAAGCTTCCAGAATACATATTCACAGTATTTTTCATAAAAACATAGGATGAAGAAAAAGGCATCAAAAATCATGTTTCATAACTACAATTCATACCCATGTCATGATGGGCCAACAGTTTTTATTTTTCGTATCTTTGATCATTCCTTTGTTCCATTGTTAACAGTATGTAAGGCTTTCTAGGAGGAATATAAGTGGAAAAAAATTCTGTAGTAGAAGTTACTCAAAGCTGTCTTCCCATTTATGTGAGGAAATATTAATGCAAAGATGCTATTAAATAATATCGGCCTAAAATTTCTCATAAGGTAGACATGTTACAAATTGCACAGGGAATATCTTCCAAGTTGTAAATATTTTATTTTAAATCTTCTACGTGTTTCATTGTTGCTGGGAACACATAAATTCAATGTTGTTCTTCAGTTAATAGTCTTTTTTATTTTTATCTTTAAGTGAAAAGCACATAATACTTTCTACTCTAGAATAAAGACCTAAGACAAAAAGATTCCCCTACCTTCATTTCAGTATTTGCCAAATGGAAAAGACTCTGGTGTTATATATGTAAATTTTAGCTTCTCTTACTGCTACAATACTGTTAAAATATTATTTTTATAGTTACAGCTTTACAAATACTAAGACTATTGTGCTTCACAGTGAGGATAGTGTTAAGTGGTGTTTGCATTATAGGGATCTGGTGTTGCATTAGCTGCTGTTTAAAAACAAATAGGCTCCTATGCTTTTAAATGTCAGGATCTGTGATCAGAAGAGCACAGCACAAGTTGAAAAAGCTCACTTTGGGGTGTCTTTTTGGTTGTTTTGGGTTTGTTTTTTAGCGGTGCAGGTAATACTTGGGTACAACTACTACAGCTAATGAACAATCTCCAGTAATATTCTTTTTGTACACTGTGAAGTACCTAATTGTGGGTGATTCTGGTAGCCCTTGAAATAGGGTTTGCTATGAAATTATTTTTTTCATACATTTTTTGACTTATATAATGTCCGTATGTGGTTTTGTGCTGTTACATATTGGAAACAAATAAGATTTTGAAGAAATGTTTTCCATTCCTCTTACTTAAATGGTAATCTAACCATCTTGCCCATATCTGACTGATAATTGAACACCCCTAGTTTAAATTAACACCCCCTCCCTCTGCCACCTCTGCATTCTTTTCTTGATGACTGAGGGCCAGTATTTACAAGATTTGGAATGGTTTGACTTACAAAATTCTGTAGCGTCACCTTGGTGTTAATTATACCTTGGTGTTAATTAACACCTTGGTGTCAATTATACCATATAGCACATGGGTGATTTCAGACAGGTAAGTAGTTCTGCTTGGGCTCAGAAAGGCAACACTGAAGGTTGCTGAATCCTTATGGATTTGGAGCACAAAGAGTACCAATTGTGATACTGCTGACTGACACCAAGCTTCCAAAACTTACACCTGGGAGAATTTTGTAGAATTCTGTTAAGAGTATTCAGTAGTGAAACCACCCTTACTTTAAAACTGCTTGTCTACCTTCAGGACTGGTTCAGCAAGGAGATTAAAAAAGTGAGGAAACAACAGGCCCCTGCTTCTGAGTCAATTATACATTCTGCATGTGAAGTGCTTGTAAGTTGAGATGGTGTTGCTGGTTCAAATCTACCAAAGGAAGCCTTCTTCTGAGGAAGGCTTGTCACAGCATGTTGAGCTTTTAGCTCTAAAAAGTGGCTATAGAAATCCATACTGTATATAGTACACTGTTTGGGAAAAACTGGTACAGTAAGTTTGCTAAATATTTCCTTACACTATTTGTAAGAAGTTACATTACATTTTTTCCTGTAGGGCATTTAAGAAGATAGTTTTGCCTTGCTTGTTTTATATTAATGTGAAAATAATAAGAATTGGTTTGTCATTTAAATGCCTAAATTTCTTTAACAGCAGTAAATATCACAAAACTGAAGCAAGGTTATACTTTCTTATTCCCTATTCATTTTGTTGAAATGTTACAGTTTAACTCTGCTTTTATAATGCACACATTATTAAAATGAAAATTATGTCTATTAGTTGCTCATGGTAATACCACAGCAAATCTAAGAGAAACTGTGATATCTGCTGTTTATCAAGTGGCTCCAACTTGCTTGCCTTTGTAAAGCATTAACCCATGCTGGACATATAGTGTCTACTGCAGTAATGTTCCTAGAGTATTTTAGTGTCCTTACATGTACTTTGCATGCCTTGCACTTGTGCACTGTAAAGAATTTTAAAAACCCATTATTTTATATAGTATTTCCCATATCCAAAATAAGACAATTTCTAAAGCCAAAGATCAATAAATGTTTATTGTCTACCAGTGTGCTTTTTTCCTACTTTTGTGATATATACTAGTCTTTATCAGCTTGCAAAATCTCCAAAGAGCATGTAATAACCAGGCTTCATACCATTCTACTAGTCTAAATTGTTTACTTTTAGAAATTATTGAGTAGGCCATTTATTCCCTCCTCCTTTTGGGTGCAGCAGAATAAATACTTTCTGAGTCTAAATGTAGGTAGTGTCTTATTCATGGGAACAGCAGTTTAATCACAAAGAGCCATTAGAGATTTTCATATGAGTGTTTTCATTTTTGTGTATTTCAGAATTTAAATTTTTGAATAATTTCTAGAGGAAGATTGGCTGTACACCATGATAAGTGGAGGAAATTCTGGGTTTTACATTCAAAGGATTTGTCGCCCTTCTTGACTGTTGCCCTTCTTGACTGTCGCCCTTCCTAGTAGGAAATCACTTAGAAAGGGGTTGTGTTTGCTTCTTGTAAAAAGAAATGTATTTAAAGGCATTACATGGTCTCTCCTATTTGTTTCATCTTAGTAGCACTAAGAAAGAGTATACTTAATAATCTTAGTAATCTTGTAACCATCTTGAATTTAATTTTTGAAATATCACATTTGGTTATACATGCATTTTCTTTAGATGTGTACAACAAGTGCAGGTGAATTATGCCAGAATTGCCCAAATAGTTCCATAGGTATAAAAAAAAAATCCTTGAGTAGACATCCTTCTTTAGCCTAAACCCAAAGTGGTACCAAAGACCCCTTCAGTCCATCAGTTGTGTTGCAGAAGTAAAGTGTGGCATGGTGCTGAGAAGAGCCAGTGTTGACATTTGTCTACAAGTCTACAAGGCATTTGAGCTGTGGGACCCCTTCCTGAAAGTGTAACAATGCTGAGGTTTAAAGTTACGGTTAAGAGGAAAGAACAGAATTATAGTGGGAGATCTGCTTATGTCTCAGAAGGCAGCTTAGCCTTCTACTTTCTCCATGCAGCCTGATGCTTTAGGCTGCCTTTGGAATCCACAATCCCCTGGACTTTGCAGTAGAAATGTTAAGCCCAAAATACAAGAGTGAAAGCCTTGGCAGTATACTTCTGGAATAAAAGCAAGCCTTGGATTTCAAGGGTCACATCAATCCACCAGGTCCACAGTGTGTAACTCAAAGGACTTAAAAGGTCTTCAGCTGACCTCTGCTGTCATATGCAGACATGCATGATTCAGTGTAGTTCCATAGGGAGTACTCAATTTTTTGAAATGTTTATTTTAGCTGAGTATGTGCAGTGGGACAGGAAAGCCTGGAAATATCCTCCAGACAATAGGGTAAGCATCTGGCACCGTCCTGTGCTGTCTGGTCTAGGTAGGGCTGAGAAAATGTTGAAGGTGTTGCTTGTTTGATTCTGATTTTATGACAAATTTTCAAAGAATATGCAGCACAATTATTGTTGCTTTTATTCTTAATAGGCTATTACCTGGTGGACTGTGAAATGGACCAGAAAATCCCTCTTAAAGAGGAATATTCATGTTCCATCTAAATCCATATTTTAAAAAGGTAGGTTTTTTATACATAACTCTGGAGTCGAGATGAGAGTTTTGCATTCCAGGGGGTGCAGCACTGATGAGTCTGAGGGAGGGTCAGCTTTTCACTTCATGAAATGGGAGCATATGTCTCTTTGTAAAGCAGACAGGAAAATAAAGACTTTTTTCTCTGAATTATGAGCTTTACAAGCTACTTTCAGTTGTTCTGGATAACCAACCTCTTACATATCTTTCAGCTGTCAGATTTTAAAGCAGCTTTTCAATAAGTACAACATTTGTATGATTTCCCGAAGTTGTCATTTCTATAGATATATAGATATATACTGTGTAGAATTTGTGCATTGTCAGAAACTAAAAGAATCCGGACTCTCAGTTGGAGTTAGGTTGGTCTTCAAGCATCAGCAATGTCCATTTGCTTCCCATTCATTTGGCTTATATTGTGCCTAGGACAAACCTTCAAGATTTGGTCCTATAGTCTGGTTTTTTCTTTGAGTGAAATATTGGTATCAGCCTGACAAGAAGAGTGAAATACAAAAATCTTCAGCGCTAATATATTTTCTGGATTTCCATTTTCTCTTCCTTCATGAAGTGGGATTAAGCTGTTCCTGCCATTTCCCAGACAGCATGAGCTCAGTATTGGGAAAAGGCACATGGGGAGGGACATCAGCTGAGTTATATATCAAGGAATTTGGGGTGCAATTTACAAAATGAAAACAGTTGTTCTGGACAGGGATTTGTTTTCCACAGGAAACTGCGATGTGGTTATCATGCTAGACATTCCTATGAGGAATGAGTGTTACTAGAAAACACAAGGCCCAAGCTGGAGATTATATTGTGTACTGCAGAACAAGTAGGACTAATGCTGTAAAACTGCAGGATGAGGTGGTGTGTATTGTTTTTCATGTGAGAACCTGGGAAAACTACAGCACCAGGATCAACAAATAAACCACTATTTAATCAATTTCTATTCTTACGCTTGGAATTTTGGAACTTTTGGATTGGAACCACTGTGGCTGGTTTGCCACACTAAAGGCACAACTCTAATACTTTAACACAGACTATGCATTGCCATTTTTTATACTGCATTGCTTTTAATGCTTTCAAAAAGTTTTAGTGGTAAAAGATTTTAAAATTTTGCTGGCATCTAGTAAAAAAATAATATAAAATTGAAAGTAAATATAAAGTAAGGTAATACAAAAGTTTTGCTCTGTCTAAAGACCGTGTTATCTTAAAAGGCAACCTTTCTGTGAAAATTCACTTTCTAAATGCTGTTGAATTCAACTCCATTGACCACAGTTTTTAGCTGAGGAGTGTTGCTTTTAGTGGAGCAACCTCCAAAGGTGCCAGCTGTGTCCTCCTGCAGACACAGTGGGCCAGGCAGCCCAGGCACATGCTTACCATTTCTTTTTGCATCCCATACCTTTGTCATCCTTTCCCACAAATTGCTCCACCAGGTGCAAATGCTCCTACATGAATCTGTAATTACAGATTTACAAAACTATTACTTAACCTGTGTATGCTCACACAAAATAGTACTGTGTTCATGGTCTTTTCATGCCACCCCTTATGCTACCCCTGCCAAGATAATAACCTCTCACATACTAGTTAGTCAGCCTTATTAATGCAAATCACAATTAACTTTACTTGTTCTTTTGCAACAACTTTGCAGCTCTGATTCTTACCTGGATATTCAATAATTCTCAGTTTATATGTAAGTTTACATATATGTCTTTTAAGATATAACCACCAACTCCATGGTACCCAGTGACTTTCCTCTGATTATGTCTATACATTTAATTTGTCAGTATTCCCTAGTCTTTTTTTCCTGTATCCTGGCCTGCCATTTTAAAAAACAAGAGTATTCCAGCTAATGCCTCTTCCTGATCAGAAAAAAATTGAAAGACAGACATGGTTTGGAGAATAAGGAGTTTTTACCTTGGTATTTTAATAAGGATTCTTATGGTGCTCTGTTTCACCAAGGTGGCAAAGCACACATACGATAGACCGCATGTACAATTTATAGACCTCACAAATTAGCATATCTAACAAGGATGCCCCAATGGAAGGCCTGGATGAATGGCATGGTATTCCCCCATCTGAGGAATACCATTCTGGATGGGCCAAATCTCTAGTTTACAACATATGTGCTAGAGGGGGCCTCTATTTCTCAAGATAGTGTAGGGTTTTCTGGCCTCCTACTGCAAGGCCTGTAGGGTGTTTGGTCTTCTGGCCTAACAAAATACTAGGACTACGCAATTATCAGACTTAAGGAATTACAAGTATGCATATAAGAATACTGAGTGTACATGAAGGTTATATAAAATGTATACAAAAGAAAAGGCAAAAAAATCATCCTGGCATCCCAGCAGTTTATTTGTTTCATTTCCATCTTAAATGACAGCTATAAATTTTCCTTCTTATTTCTGTTGTCCCTTAGGCATTCTCAGCTTTCTTGGCTTTTTCCCCTATCTTCATGTGGTAGATTGTTACTATGCTTCCTCTTATTTGTGTGCTGTTTGTCTGCTTTTGTTTTGAGTTTGGTTATGAAAGAAATGCAGCTTTCTTCTTGCACTGATTTTTTCCTTCCATGTTACTACTTCTCCTATCCACTGTTATTTATCACCTCTCTTCACTCCCACTAGAAAAGTTACTTTTCTTAGCCATTGTAGAGAAAGAACTGTTGCAAGATTTAAAACATACCTAAGTCACCCCACAGCAAGAATTCATTTTGGGAAACCGTATTAAGTCCAGACTTGCTGCCTTTTGTAAATACCTCCGATCTCGGCCAGCTCTGTAAGTTCCTGATGTTTGCATCTATATAAAACACAGTTATTCTAAACTCACAGAAAAAATATTTTTGTTACAAAATTAATAGTTACTTTCAGCTTTACCATTATTTTTACCAGATTTTGATTAACACAGTGCTTTCAGTCTGTGTTCTCTTAACTTGATAACACAAAAAGCTTGTAGGTGTTTTCTCTCCATTGCAGAGCTGTACCAAGGAAGGCAGCATTTGCCAAGAAGGCAGTATCTGTGGTGCTCATTAAATACAGATAATTGTGCCCGAAGGTCAGCTGCTGATGCGTGCAATGTCGAGCTATGCTAAATGGAGCAGCTCTTCGGCAGGACAGAAGAAGGACCCTGAAAGTTTGGTTTCTTTGCTGAAGTGGATTTAGTAGTATTCCTGCTTTTTAACAAATAAATTAGGTATATAAACATCAACCTGAAATACTGAAGAGTAAGTTTTGAAGTGGGCAAGATATGCTGCTTAAATAAAATTTATTTCCTCAATTTGCATTCAGTCTCTGCAATCCTGTTTTTACTTCTATCTTCTGTAGCTTTTGATTCACCTACATAGAAGAGTGAAGGGTTTATTTTTGTCAAAGTCTTTATTGGGAGACATATACATACATGTATCTGAGAAAATGACAATGTACAATATATATTTATATATATTATGTATATATATGTGTATATGTATGTCTATTTATAGATATAGACATATATACAGTGTGCTATATATATCTTACATCTGAGAAAATGACAACGTACAAGTGCCTCATAGACTGAAAAAATAAAATTAGATTTTAAACTGTGTTTTAAAATCTTTTAAAATTACTTGATTGTATTTCATGGTTGTGGTGTCTCTTTAACCTGTCTGCTACTGGGTGTGAAAATTAAATGTAAGTGAAAAGGAAGACGTGGAATCTGAATGCTGAAAAAAGCCACTGGTCTTGCATATGAAAAATGATCACTTTGCAAATGACCTTTCTTTAAAAATATTAGAATCATGAGATCACTTTAATATACTTCTAGCAGGTCATTCAATTAAAAAGGTTTTTACATTAAGTTTCCTGAACAAGCAATATTGCAATGAATCGGAACTAGCAATGCGTGGGAAAGGCAAGCACAGAGAGTTCCCCACCCTACCACATAGAGATGGATACAGTGTTTCACCTAAGACCTTGGAGAAGGCTTGAAAGTTTAAAATAGAATAGTGAAACAAGCACAAAATAAGAATACAGATTTGTCATTTAAGCAGAAGTGTTTTAAGCAGGAGAATTATATCTCATGTAAGCAAATAAATTTGTTAAGCAAAAAAATAAAGTCTAACAATAGAACTTGTTATTGAGGTAGAAGTTACAGGATAGCAGTAAGTTTCTGTAGAGTTATATGATTGGATAGAAAAATATGCATTGTGGCAAATTGTGTAAAACGTAGCAATTAGAAATTTATTTATGAAGATGCTAGCAAGCTTTGTGGAAGTAGCTGATTGGATAAGAAATTTATAAAAGACATTGTAATTAGAATTAGAATGGCTCTGATGCAATGGCTTCGGATGAGACTGATTTTGCAATAAACCTTTTTTTAATTGCCTCATCAGTTGACCCCATCTTTTTGTATCCTGAACAATTGGTGCCCACTGTATGAGGAACAAGACTAAATTGTTTGTTTAGTGGGTAAATGTTGGACCATTACATGGTTAGAAACATGTAGAGAGTTTTTTACAGGGTGAAGTGTTCAAGCCTGTGCACCTCACAATGAGTTTTTAAATATTTGTGGATGCCCTGGTCTTGTTTTGCTAAGACATTTATCACCAAAGGGGTATTGGGGACAGACAAAGATAATACAGAGACTCCGTCATCAGAAGGCATGAAAAAAACCACTTTATTATTAGAAATCTACAGATCATCTAGAAACAATGATGAACCTAAGAGCTGATTGGCCTTCAGGAATCTTCCCTCACACTATTGGTGAACTATAAACAGTGCACTCTGGAGAATCATATCTATAAGCAATGGTTTCAGAAAGGGAGATAATAATTGTTTTAATTCTTTCTCTGAGCATTCTCACAGCTTCTCACAGCTTCCCGGGAAAATCCTGGGACATGTTCAGAGAATATGTGATTACCACAGACTTTATACTTGGGAGTAATAGGTACCTCTTCATGCCAGGTGTCATAAGCTCTTGGAGGTCTATAACTCACCCAAGATAGCTCAGCTACCTTTGGAGGCACAAAATCAGAAGAATAGCTTCTGTTGCAGTGTTGGAAACAAAAAGGTTTAATAATAAAAGGCAAAATAACAAACTCTTTACAGAGAAAACCAGTCCAGGTGCAAGAAGTTCTTGCTCCTGGTAAAAAACCTCACTAAAGCAATTCATTTCTTTGTTCACTTGTTTTTCGAGTAAATTGTCCAGGCGGGACTTTTTGGCTCCTGTCCAATTAGCTATCCTTAAGTTTGAGGTGAAGTCCCTAAGCCTATGAGAGGTGCCTTTTCACCTAATAGAGGAGAGAAACTTCTGGGCTTCTTTCCTTTTTAGGGGGACAAAGGATAGTTTTGTCACTCTGTCAACAGGGGGAACATTCCTACATTTGGGCATGTGTCTAACTGGTCTTCTGTTGGCTAAGTTAAAGCACATTGATACTGGCTTTAGATGTAGCAGTGTTTAGCCCATTGCAAATCACAATTGAATTCTCCTTTATTTTCCCCCATGAACAGTCACCCTTTACAAGAGGGCTGGATATTGCCCCTAGGATGAGGAACAATACAGGAGGCAGTAGGTTCCCCTTCTATGCTCTGGACAAAGATGGGTATGAGATCCATCACTACATGAGAGTTACTTCAGTTGTTTCATGTAGCACATGCAGTTCCTATTCATAGAACTGGTTTTGAACTCTTGAGTAATGTCATGTAGTTTACTTTTGCTGGCATTTTCTTTTTGTATGCAACCTTCTGAATGATTCCTTTATCCCATACTTTTTCTTAATCTTTGAGAGAATTGGCATTTTCTGACAGAAGTTCTTTGGTTGTTGTTTTTTGTTGTTGTTGTTGTTGGGTTTTTTTTGTTTTATGTTTTTATTCTGGTTGGGTTTTTTGTTTGTTTGTTTTGTTTGTTTGGGGCTTTTTTTAAACTTTTGTTTCACTGATAAAATACATGTTTTACAGACTTCATGTGTGGAAAGTTTTTAAGGGGGAATCTGGACACATGCTGTTGGGGTTTTAGGAGTTCTTCTTTTGGATTTTTCCCCTTGAGGAAACATTAATGACTGCATACCTAATAGATACAAAATAAGTTGTACTACTCAGAAGCTGGCTACTCTTTACCTGAGGCTTCCAGGGTAGGGCAGAGATCACACTCTGTTTCTGTCTGTCTCTCTGTCTCTGTCTCTGTCTCTGTCTCTGTCTCTGTCTCCCTCTGTCTCCCTCTCTCTCCGTCTCTCTCGAAGGAGGAGGAGGACGGCCGGAGCTGCTGCCTCGGGCAGAAAATTCGCTGCCGCCACAGCCCAGCCCGATCCCGCTGCCTCTGCTGTGGGGTGAGCCTCTGTTTGTGACAGCAGCCACTGAACTGGGTCCTTATTAACAGCTGCCTCATTAAAAAAAGGGACTTTTCATCATCTGCTGGGGTGCCCGGGATCCTTTGCCACTGCTCAGAGCTTTGCTACACTGCAGCCCCGCGACCCTGCCTGCTGAGACACCCCGTAGTTCCAGCTGCAGCTGCGGAGCTTCTCATACAGGTCGTCCGCCATCCCGGGAATTTTGCTCATTCCTGCGGGCTGTGACCGTAACTACAACAACGGGAAAAGTGCCTGCGGCCAAGAAGACTGTTACTGGGTTTCTGGTTATGGTTTTTGTCATTGCCATTGTTGTTGCTTCTTTGCCTTGTTATCCATACTGGTAATTAACTGTTATTCCGTTTTCCCATAATTTTGCCTGAGAGCCCCTTAATTTCAAAATTACAGTAATTCGGAGGGAAGGGGTTTACATTGTCCATTCCAAGGGAGGCTCCTGCCTTCCGTAGCTGACATCTGTCTTTCAAACCAAGACATGCTCTCTTAGTCCCTGCTGAATCAAAAGGGGTGGTTTTTGATTAATTTGAAAAATACAAGAAACTTAATTTGAAGTTTTTTGCAGTTTAGTGACTGGTTTATTATGTTGTTTGATTCAAAATATATTCCAGAAATTAGTGTTAAATATGTGTTTTTAAACTTACTTGTAAAAACCAAGAGTAAGCACATTTAAAAATTGGTTAGAGCTGCATGAAGCTGTTTCCTAGCAATTTCAATTCTGGGGCATATGCCCTCACAGCTGCCTCACTTGTTGCTGTTTTACCCATTTTGTTTGCAGCTGGGTCACCTTGTTCATTTGTGCTGACCTAGATTTTGTGATTAATTTAGTTGGTGGGAGGGGAGGGAAGAAAGATTAAAAAAAAAAAAAGGAGATGGGGGCAGAAACAAGGAAAAAAAAAAAGAAATAAGTTTTTGCATCCAGTTCTGTTAGTGCATTCATTTTTCTCCCTTGTAGCTTTCTCTGGTTTTTTGCATCTTTTAAGCATGGGATTGCTCATATACCATACTGTGCCACTGGATGATAATCAGCTTCAGCCGATGACTCTTCAGGCCTCTTCTTGGGGCAGAGACAGGAGGATTTTTGGAACAACACTGTGAGCAGAAATGCTTTTCTTGGGAAGATACAGTTATTGTTCGTCAGTGAGCAGCATGAGAAGAAGTGGTGTTTTCTTAAAATTAAAATGCAAAGGACCACTCTCCTCAAGGAACTAAGATATTTGTGAATTAAATTAGTAACTGTGATGAAACCCATATTTTCTATTTTTTTATTTTTATTAGAATTTGGGATGTTTTTGTAATTGATTTCTTAATTGAAGCTGAATAAATTTTCCTGTCTTTTTAAGTTATTCTGAAATTTTTCCTCCCACACACCAATATTCTTTTGTTTTAGTAGCTAAACTGAAATAACCTTTATTCACACAACTTCCCATTTAAGAATGTCTGATCTAAACAATTCAGTGCTGCTCTTTGTTGTGTAGTGTAATAGAAAAAAAAGTGGTAATCTTAAGGTATTTTCTAATATATTTCAATTCCCAGCACAACATGCTTCAAGTGTACATCTTCTCCTGATTATAAAACACTTTCAATACTAAAGGAAAATCTCTGAAGATTGTCCAACCACTTCATGTTTCAAGGTGTTTTTGCTCATGAAGTGGATATTAACTAAAGAAAAATAATTAATGATAGTTTAGGCAATGTTGCATAACATAACTGATTTTTTTTAATCCAGAAAATAATTTCTTTTTTTTTGCATCCTATAATCCACTTTTTTACTTGGTGAATAGCAAAAATTACAAAAGAAAAATACAGAACCATTTCATTTCACACCTGCAATTATAGGAGTTGTAATTTTGACTATATTCCTTTTATACATCTGCAATGATTGAGAGACTTTATGGAGTATGAGTATTTGGAGCACAAGTGTTTCAGAGCAATTCAGAATTATTGAAGAGCTACAGGTTTTGTAAAATGCTTCCGTTTGTTAGTGTTGTAATGAGTTTTGTAGGGCTCTTAGCAAGGTTGTATGAACAACCTATAAATGGTCTTGTAATTTTTCCTGTCTTTTTTCCACATCTGCATGTTGGTGCTATTGCTAGAAGTCTCCCTCAGCTTATATAAATATTCCCGGTGAGCAGCAACATCCCATAGTCTCAGCCTGGCCAGGCAAAAGGGAGGGGGATGAGTGCAGCTCTACCACCATACCCCAATCTTGGTGGTGACAGTATTCATGTGAAAGGGGCATCACCCCCTTGCTGTGGAAAAAGAGGGTGTAATATTACCCTCACATATCTGATGACTAAACAGTTTGCAAAAATGAGTTTTTTTAAAAAAACTTGCTAGTTAAAAAACCAAAAACAACTCAAACACAAAAACCCAAAGCTGTCACTTTCTTACTAACTGTCCAGGACATTAAATTATTTTCCTATTCAAAGTTGTCTTAGGAATTGTAGAGAAACTGACTCATCATACGATGGTATGGTTTGGATATTTGGAGTGTAAAGCATGGCTTTCCCTCAATTTTTTTCATCTCGTTTTGAAAAGCAATATGAGAAATAGTTTGATTTGCTCAGCAATTTCAGTTGTCCATCGTAGTTAAGCAGGAATGCCTCAAAACTGTGGATTTATAATATAGATGTTCTGCATTGAAATAACTAGCATTCACAAATCTTATCAATGTGCATTTTCTAGTCAATATTACACAGAATAAAGTAAAATTTCCTAACAAATTTACACAAACTTTTTTGCAAAAACTTGATTTTTTTTTTCAGCATAACACATTTGGAATTATCCGTGTCTTTTTTTTTCATGAGTTGCTTTTAACTTCTGAAATCCAACATCTTCTCAGCTGTGCTTCAAATTGTATTGTGTCTCCTGAATAAGGTAAAACCCTAGATCATAAACAGAACCACAGTAAGGTTGCAAGGGATCACTGGCAGGGTTATCTGATCCTACCTCTCTAACCTTATGATTGGTTTGGTTATGTTTGGCCTGTTTGGAGATGTGTGTTTATTTTCTCAAGAGTTGGTTGCCTGGAGGCAAGTGACAGCACTTTGCTTCCATCAGAGTCGATGGGAACATTCACACAAGGGAAAAAGAAAAAAGTATCAACAGTATTCACATAAAATTTGCATTAGTATTCACTCAGGTCTATCCATAATAATGCATCTTTAAACTTTCCTATTTAGACCATTTATGTTAAGGACATGTTTGTGAAGTAACACAGATCTGCCATACCCTGTATAGCTATCATTTGAAATACTGTTGGTTAGGCCTAGCAGACTGGTTTTTAGTTGCCATGGATACCTCTGATTTTTTGGTACTAAGAGGAGTGTTAAAGAGAAAAGTGGCAGTAAGTCAAATACAATTATGCACAGTCTTATATACACACACACATAAAATTTAAGATATTCTAGTAATAAGTTGCAAATTCCTGGAGGTTTGAATTGTTGCAGCTGGGTGGTGAGGAAGGCCTGCTAAGAGCCCCACTCAAAGTGCTCTCAGACTCAGCATGAAGGGTTGAGTGATTTGACAGTTGGAAGGCAACAAAGGCTTATTGACCTTTATTGTGGTGTGCAAAGTTTACCCACCTTTCAGTCAATACATGCCTACCCTATGCCCTGGCTGCCCCCATAGCACTGGAAATTTAAATTCCCACTATGGAAGCACAACATGGGGTAACATGAGTGCAAATTCTGGTGAGAGAAGGAAGAAGTGATGTCAGGACAGGCGAGAACTCATGTGATAAAGCATCAAGGACAACAAAAAAGGTCTGTACTGTAATTGGTTGTAGAGAAAGTGTAACAATGTGAGATACGCTGCATTTTTTCCCTCAGATTCGTGCTCTCTGCTGAGGATTGTGGGCAGATGCATTCATTTCAAAATCCTGTTCTGGCTGTGCCAGGTTCTCTATTAGAGCTTATTCCAAAAAATCAGAGTAATTAATCTTCTTTAGGGCCACTTTGGATCTTCCAACAATGAGATTTCACAGGTTGTACAAATAACAATCTCAAGGGACCTTCTTTCATCCTCAAGGGGCTTTCTTCCATCACTTTTTCTCTCTTCTGTCAAAATTATTTGTCCTCTTTAGGGTGACAGGTCACTCCACCTCACCAGTATTCCTCACCCTTTCATAGCTTTAAGTTTTCATCACACTCTCCTTTCTGAGAATTTAGCAGCATCATTACCATTTAGGGTACCTCTGCCTGCTCCAGGAATGTTTCTCCCAACCTTGTTCCGCCCTTTGCTGCCGTTGCTAGCATCTTTGGGCAGTAGAACAGGTCAGTTGTCTGCGTGTTATTACATCTTAATTACACCTTCTTTGGAACACTGATCCCTTCCTAGGTATGTATATATAGGGTTGTGTATATAACAAAGAAAAACAGAAAAATTAGCTCTTGATGTAGTGCTCTCTTTCCATCTGAATGCAGATGAACTGCTGCCATCTCATATATTTATAGTTTGTTTCTAGACTTCACTTCCCAGAAAAAAAATCCCTTCTGAAAGCTGCTGAGCGGTGGCCCAGCAGCAGGATTTTATTGGTAGATGGTTCATTCCCCCACTGAGCTATTAATCAGTGCTTATGGATGTCATGGTGGCAATGCTCACAGGACATGTATGTGTCTCCCTGCATAAGGGTCAAGCCCATCGTCTTCTAAGATAATTTAACTCCCTTAATCTAGTTTTGAGCGATTCAGAGTGCACAGCTGAATTATAGCTGTAGCAGACAGTTATTTTGCTCTTCCCTTTAAATTCTCTTTGCAGCTTAAGCCTGTCTTGGCTGGGTGCTTGGTTTGCCTGGGTGCTCTAAGCTGTTTTGTTAACAAAGAATGACAAAAGTAAGTACATGAAGAGGGAAATCAGGTGAGAAGTGGGGTTTTATTGCTATGGTAGAATGATTTGGTTTGTAGAGGACCTTAAAGCTCATCTCATTCCACACCCATGCCAGGGGGCAAGGACACTTTCCACTGGACCAGGTTGCTCCAATATCCATCCTACCTAGGCATGGACTTTAACAGCTGGGGCACCCACAGATTCTCTGTCACTGCACAGTTCCTCACACTCACAACAAAGAATGAAGTTGTTATGTAAGAATGCTAACAAAACTGTTCTAGAAACTTTATGCTGCAATGCCATTGCATTGATATTAATAGCCAGCTTCTTGTGCATTGCTTTGAAATTTACAGCTCAGAAAAAGCCCTTGCTAAATCACTGTAAGCATAGATGACCATCTATTCAGGACAAAGATCTCAGCAGTGTAAGAATGAGAAACCTTCTCACAGCCACACTTTCAACGGCAAAAGTTATTTTTTTAATGGGTTTCAAATATTTTTTTCACATATTTTAATTTTTAATTATGTGTGAATATACTGTGAGACCTCTGGTAAGGAAGTAAATCTACATGGCCAACCTCAGTGGTCCAAAACAGGGAACTTATCACTGAAATGTAAAATAACTGTCTGACTCTGAATTTTTGTTTTCTTTTTAATTATTTCTTTGTCACGCCAAAATGAAGGAACTAAAAATACCAGTGCTTGGACTCAAATTTTAAGTTAGTTAAAGTTGCTGGGATTAATTTTAGCCATTGGATTGTATATGCTTTATACTACCAAATGGTCCACATTCAAGAAGTTCACATTTTGAGAAAAGTGAGAGCCTTTGGCTACAAAAGTAAGTATATACCAAAAGGTGAAGGCAATCCATTTGTGCTGTCAGTTTCTCTTGGAATTGACTGGAAAATGCAGTGACAACATCTGCTTGTTTCTCTACAAGTGACTTAAATATATGCATTGATGAAGGGAGCAGAATTACTCACTTTTTGTAATAAGAATAATTAAGTATGTTTAATTA